AGATATTTTACTGCAACATACCCTAGGTATGTACATTTGATGTGTGAAGGAGTGCGTACCAAAAGTATGTTGCAGTAAAAATATCTTTAAGCACACTGTTTCTCAAGGTGGCGATATTATGGAACCTGGTGATATTATGGACACGGATGTTAAATTTGCCATGTTTTTTGTCAGTGTTGTTTTAATTTTTTTGTATCAACATTTTTCTTTTTCTGACTCGGAAGCCTATTTCCTAATATATAAATGGTGTTGTGTAAAGGAACACCATAATTTGAGACATGTACTGACATAAAACATCACCAGAACATTTAATAATTCAAAACCTAAATGAAGTTCTGTTATATTTCAAACTGGGAATGTGCTGTATTCCCTGAGGAAAAATGCAGTGGAATGAAATATGAGAAAAAATTGAGAGAGAAAATTGTCTATAGCCAGACAACCTCCTATAGCAAAATCTGTGCTGCAAAATGAAGAAAACATAATGCCATTGGGCATCATCAAGTGTCGGCTTCCATGTTATGTGGCCACAGTTTTGCCTAAACAACATTGCAAGGTTGCCAACATGCAATTTTGTATATGCCATGGGTTTAGGTCCGGACTTACAAGTCCGGAACTGAACCTAAACCTCTGGACTTGAATCCGGACCAGAACCTACATCACAGTAAATGTGGGTTTAGGTACACAGCACTAGGGTCAACAGCAGTGAATATCTCAGGGCAAAGTTTCCCTGAGACCCTCGAGCTCTTGCCCGGGCTATGACCTACTGTAGTACCTCAGACAATTATTACCCCATGACATCATTGTGTAAGGTGCTGGTAAGGTCGGGTCATAGCAAGGTCACCTGGACTTTGAACGGCTCTCCATTAACATGTTTGAGTTGGGTGTTACCAGCTGACAAAGGTCTGGGTACGTTATTGTCCAAACATCGATCAGATAAATCGAGTTGTAAACGTTGGTATTGGGACAAGTGTGTGCCAACATTAATGTGGCCTCATTAATTTAAATTACTACATTTCTAAGTAGTTAGCTTAGCAGTAGCACGAAGTAGCGTAGGGCCCCCAACCCTCCAGACTAAATTTTTAGCTTAGGAGCGCATGCGCTCCTAGCCTCAAAAAGTTAGGCGCGCAGGCAAACATTTGGGCGCGCAAACAAAAAATCTGGTCGCGCAAAGTACTTTTTAATTTAGAAGCCAAGAGAATAATGTACCTAAGCAGACAATTAATAATTCTTTCATTATCATAGAAAAAAATCTAAATTCACCATTTGTACTAAAAGAATTGTGATAAATGAAAGACCAAACAATGATTTTAAAAGTAACTATCTTTAATGTGTTCAAAGTCACTTCATCTCAGTCGTTAGACCAGGCTGACTGATATGTCGGTCTCCTAGGCCTCTGCAGGGTTGGACAAGTTTTCTAAAATCCAACCCTATCGGGCAAGTGCATGGTCATTTTCACTTGCCCAAAATATAAATGACATAGATCTATGCATTTATCATTGCAACAATGAAATCCTTTTATTTTTTGGAAAAAAAACATTTAACAGATAACAATATTAACATTGCTACTCAAACCATTTTGTTAACATTAAACTTAAAGGTACAGGTTTTCCACAACAATGAAGACAATCTTCTTTATTTTTTACAACTTTTCAGGTATTACACTACATGTCTGAAGTAGTTTCATTGACAAAAATAATTCATAAAAAAATAAAAGACAATAAAAAAAGCTCATGGAAAAAGGACAGAGTAGAAAACAAGGGGAAGAATCTATTTGGAATTGCCTATAATTATTTAATAATAATGCTACACAAATGTCTAAATACCTTGAGTTGAAACTTTGCTATTAATATTAATTATTTCTTCAACTGTATCAAAACAATCTACAACTTAGTTTCAGTTGACCTTTGAACAAATGAAAAGTCTGCACAACAGCGATCTGCCCAAGTTTTCCTTAGAGGAGTTCTAGTAGAAAATCATATCAGTCACGCATTGCCAAACTTCCCTATCCTGCGCGCTCCTGGGCCATGAGGGAGGATCTCTTTTCAAACACAAACTTTGCCAACAATCAAATATTTGTGGCTGATAAAGATATTTATCTCCTTGGTTTCCCCCCAAATTTAGGCCAGATGGAAACATTGTGTATGACTACCGGTCGCGCTAGGTCCATTGCACTACACTGCACTGCACAAGTTTTGAAGGCGAGATCTCGTCACCTGACCCCTCTAATGGTATAAGGATATCAAGTCTCGCGAGAGTCGGGCCGTGAGTGCACACCAAATGAAAACAAGATGGCGACCCGGTTGTGTCGGGCTTGTTTTTTCGCCGGAAAATAGCTGTTTTGCCGCTTTATTTGCCGAGATAATGGTATCTACGGACTTGTAATGGGTTTTCTGACAAATGAACATGATTTTGCCTGGCATTGATATGACATTCTTACGGGAAAAAATAAGAAATTTTTGCCTCTAACAGCGCTATAGCCAATAATTTAGGCGCACCGCGGATTCTCTGCCGGTCGCGCAGTGCGCGACCAGAGTAACAAGTTTAGTCGCATTTCTTAATTTTTGGTCGCATATGCGACCAAAACGGTCGCAGTCTGGAGGGTTGGCCCCCCTACGCTATAATTTTTACCCCCTACGCTAAATTTCCCCCCTACACTAATTTTCAATACAGCGTAAGGGCATTGTGACTGTATTTCTTTGTTCAAGAATGCAAGATCAAATGTGAAAAATTACTAACCAAGGATACATTGTACATACCTTAGAAATAACATTTTTTTCCCTTTGGGTATCCCTCAAATGGACTCTTTTTTAGCTCAAATTTTTAAAAGCTCCACACCGCGGAAGAGGGGAACATCCCCCTTCCGCCCCATCCCCCCTCTCAGTGGCTTCACTCCCTCGACATGCGGCCAGTGCCACTACGCTAAAATTAAATCCTAGCTAGAACCCTGACTTTTCTGCTTGTCTATGTTATACTGCTTTCCTGGGAAGTCTCTGCATCTCATTATTGTCTCAGGCTAATCTCCAAGCAGATCCTACGGTGGCAAGACAGTATCCACTGGGGTCTGGTATTCTTCCTAAAGAATTTTGCAACTTAAAACCCCTTGAGTGAGACACTATTTCTTGCCTTTTGAGGGGCAGATTTTCTAAAGTTAATATTTGCCTAATTGTAATAGCTTCATATAAAGTTATATTTTCATTTTTTGAAAGATTTTTGAAGGTTCTCCCCCCAAAATGCTTTTTTTTTATATAATGTGCTGTAGTGAGCAATACCCACTGATTGTACAATGGCTCAATCAGTGGGCAATCAGTGGCTCACAGCTGCCAAGTTCTAATGAAGGAGGTGTCGATGCACTCTGACTTTAAAGGACTGCAGTCCGTTGTTGTAGATGTCACCCACAATGGTGTCTGGGAGTTGGTTCCAGATCTAAACACCAGTGTGCTAATGCTGGTTGAAGGAAAATTGTAGTGGGTAAATCAATTTAGCATAGGGGGTTCAAATCACAGCATAGGGGCCCCTATGCTTAAATAGCCTAGTGAGAACTATGTTGTATGATAAAGATGCAGCGTCAGCACTCAGCAGGGACTGAGCACGAGACATGCCTCACGTGTGCCGGTGCTCAAAAGTTCATCACTCCCGAAGCAGTCCAAATGTCCTGTTGCCTTTGTCATCACCACTTCACGATCACACAGTTAGAAATGCTGAACTCTGCAGAAAGAGCTTTGTCCTTTGACTGCTGAGTTATCGCATAAAGAATTGTTGGGTGTGTTTTGTGTCTAAAACTTAGAGGCCACAGCAAGTAATTTTATAGATGACATCAGCGCAGGATTTGATTTTCGCCTGATTTTGGGAAAAAAAAAGAAATTTTTTTGTCCTCCGTCAGTGGTCAACATGCTGAAAATGGGCAAAGATGGCTGTTGCCATGTCGCAATGTAGATGTCAGATAAATATGAGGAGAGGAAAAAATACAATGCTCTGATTTATTGTTTTGTCTTTTACTTTGAAGCAGTGATGTATTTCATTCCTTTGATTTACTTTATATGTGATGTTCCCACTGAATCAAAACCATTTGTACAGATGTCTTTTATTTTTCAGTGACAATGGATGTTGTAATAGTTGACAGTACGTAAACCTAGCACAATACATGTATCATGTCTTGTTTAATAAGCTTTATGATGTCAAAATTTGAAAACGTAGGAATCTTGTTTTTTTGGCCCGCCTTGTTTTGTTTTCGCCCTATAAATTTGTGGAGGATGTCATCCATAAAGTTTAATTGCTGTGGCCTAAAGCTATTTACTTAAGGTGGTGATAAGTTCTTGTTTTTGTCGAGCAGAGAGTCTGAAATGGAGGTACAACTTGGTGACCTAGCTCCAAAGCTCCAATGTCTTTATCTTTTCCTGATGTAGTTAAAACTCTTGGTTGTCTAGGAGTCTTTGAAATGCTACATTGAAGTTTGATATACATGTATTCTAGGAGTTTTGCCGGGCTTAGTATCCGTGGTTATATAAAATTGCGAGTCTTGGGCGTTTCCCCCGCAGTACATGTATGTCAACAGTCTAACGTACAGTGGCTTATACAACTACTTTCCAAAGAGGACGTATGTGTAATGTTAGTTGGAAGCCATCATGTCATACCTGTCAAACATTCCATTGACAAAAGGGTCAGACTATCATATAATAATGTTATCAACCATCCCTGTGTGCTGTGTCCGATAGCTGAGTTTGCCTACGGCGTGTTATCTCGGTCAGGTGTCTGGTCAACCGCAGACAAGTCAACACTGGTCAATGGTCTTTGTACTCTCAGCCTATCCAGTAACAATATTACTGAATGCATATATTTTTTTGAAAAATGAACGTTTGTGTCACTGTGGCTGAAATACATGTACAAAATTTGCCATTTTACCACGCTAGTGCAGGAATTTCACATTTCGAAACAGCTGAAATTGAAAAAAGAGTTAATATTTGAATCGTATTAACACGGTTTTACAACCTGTGTCCCTGCAGATGGCTGATGATGGAGCGCCACCTAGTGACACTCAGATGAATGACATGAGCTCTCTTCATGATGTCATCGATGGAGGGAGCCCCGCAGACGTGGCCCAGGCTGTCTTCGGCGTCCCCGCCGTCAAGCAAGAGCTGCTGGGAATGTTCCTGGAGGAGGTTGGGAACGAAAGCTCGCTCCTGTGTTCCGAGGGGATCCTGTCGGCGATAAAGCTGCTGACAGGAGGGCAGAACCTGAGGGAGCGGCTTCACGAGTGCGCGCCGATCCTCCTGAACGTCCTGGACACCGTGTCCGACACCATGACGGCCTTCACCAAAGCGCAGCCGACAAAGGCAGGGAAACGGGCCCTGGAGGACCTGAAGAGGCAGCTGACCAAGATGGGGAAAGTCCACGTGGGGACCAAGATCGTGGAGTCGGCCAAGGAGACGTTCGAGGGGGTGAGCAGTGGCAGCGAGAAGGAGAGTCGCAGTGGCAGCGTTTCCGATGACAACGCCTCCGAGGCGGAATCGTCCGGTTCCTCTCCAGAACCAGAGCGACGCGCTCACGCCCCGCTGACCCGAATGCAGTCTGAACCGGTCAGCCTGATGCAGTCCAGTTCTCCCGTCGCCAGCGACAGCCCCGGAAGGAAGCGTACCCACACACGCACGCCTTCTGCCCCGATTCAGATCCCGTCCGTGTCGGTGGCGATGCCGGCAGAAGACGTCGACATGTCGTCCTCCCCGTCTGACGGCTTCAGGGAACGAAGCCTCAGCCTGCCGTCAAACTCTAAGCTCTTCCAGCGGGGCTACAGGCAGGGCCTCTTCGAGGAGCATCATTCGAAATCCATCAAGACGTCCGTTGACGTGTTCGTTCGCGCCGTGGACGACATGGAGGGTGCCGTGCTGTTCCCGACGCGTCTTCGGTACATCTCGGAAGATCTCGACCTATCGGAGAGCCTGCCGTCGATGCTGCGAGAGTGCGATCTGTACGAGTTGTTTGAGTCGCTGAAGAAGCTGAGGACTGAGCTAGACGAGGGGAGGCTGTCCCTCGCGCAGTACGAAGGCAGCAGCGACCAGATGAAGTCCATCGTGGAACTCATCCACAGGCAGGTGCTGAGTCTGTCCGCCATCTTGGAGCAGCTGGCAGAAACCGCACGCCTGGTCACCAGACAGTACGAGGAACACTTGTAAACAAACAAACAAGTAAACACGACATAAAGACTAAGCTTTAACTTCCAACACTTAGATTACTGAATAAGGACTTACCCAAATTTTCAGTTGACTCCATCAACCTGGCACGTATGACCCGCCACTACGGTCACGTGTCTCTGACGTCACGTTCCAAAAGTAGACCCATTCCGTGAACAAGGTTGATGGAGTCAACCGAAAATTTGGGTGAGTCCCAATTCCGTAATCTAAGTGTTGGAAGTTAAAGCTTAGTCTTTATTTCATAATGACTTGTACCGACACAGATGAACTTTCATGCTAAGGAAACACGAGGATGAAGGAAAGAAAACAACACCATTTTCCCGTGTACTGTTAACTGTATGCCATCCAAGAAGGTGGTCAAGAAAATACACTGCACATGTATAACAATCGTCATAGATTTACCGCAAATAAGAAAAAAAATGAGCATTAAAATAAAAGTCACAGTCACAAGAAGCTAGAGACTTTAGAGCTTGTAAATTGGCAATGTGCAAATCAAGATGGGCATAGCATACAATAAGCCATTGCTTCTCAATGTACGAATTATACCTTTTGTTTAAGTTAATACTTTTTTTATGGAATATCAGCATATATGTATGTGCAAATGAACTGACATCACAAAAGATTGCCTAATGCTGAGATTGGATCATTCTTTAAAAAATGACATCTTGCGATGCAACAAATTTTTTTCAACAATGTTTTATCTTCACGGTCTTCATTTTGATACTGCATTTGCCACAATTTTGTACATTTTATACCACAAAGACAATACATGTACTAAGTTCAACAAAGTATCTTGTGAATAATCAGATATGGAATGGCTTAGATGCCTGACAATCTTTATAGAAGCACTGGATTTTTGTTTTGATGGTTTTCTTTTCAAATGTTTGGCAGTCTTGTCACAAATACCACAGGACCGTTTTCTGTAAGCAGATGCTTTCATTTATATCAAATAGGAAAGAAAATGTACAAAATCTATGTAGGGTTCAAGACGGGAATTGTAAATAATAATCTCACAGAATTTTGCGCACATTGTTCTGTAAGGAAGATATGTGCATTATTAGAATAGATAGCAGAATTTATTATGAAATAGTGGATTTAAAAAATCACTACATCATGCGTTGAGCCATGTTGTCATGAAATGAATATATGACTGCTGAGGAAGTGAACATACAGCAAAACTGTCAAACAAGTTACGTTGATGAGAGTATACAAGAAGACGTGAGTTAGTATTGAAAAAACTGGATAAGTTTTGGAAAGTAATTCTGATCAGTTGCTGGAGTAGTCGTTTTTCTTGAATGTGTAAAACAAATTGTTGGTCAGGAAATTGGACATTAGGCCACACGAAGTAAATTTTATGGATGACGTCCTTTGGAGACCCTAAATCTAATGCGAGAGGGCGAAAAAAAACAAGAAGGGCCCTAAAAAACAAGATGCCTAGATTAGAAACATACTAAGAGACGACAAATGTTAGGACACAAATTGAATGAGGTGACACAGTGCAACAAGCAAGAAGTCTTTTAGTCATCATCAAAACAGCAATAAATCAGGTGAAACAGCAGTTGTCGTCCTGTGCTTTGGGGAGATAGATGGAGCAGTCAGCAAGTTTCTTAAAATGTGGCAGCATGTACCAAACTGAATTCCTAAAGGAAGTCATGATTTCCTTGCTTGATGCTTCATAAGCTTTGGTCCGTACAAATCTATTCGCGGCACTGTCGTGACTCTTTGGTCATAGTTACAGGAAGCGGAATTTCTTCTTTTTTTTTCTAGGAACATGCCAAAATCAATGCGCGCGCGGACGTCATCCAAAAAATTTACTTGGTGTGGCCTTACACAGATGGCTTTAACATAGACTTCTGAATGGCAAATTTATCAAAAGCAACTATAGATGCATTTATTATCTGTATAGCCGGTATAACCTCCCTTCAGCATAACACACCAGCTAACAGATATAACAAAGCTATGAATTGCGTACTTTTGGTGAATAGTTTGTAAAGGGACATGTTTATACAAAAAATTGCACTCCTTGGTGCTTTTGAATTTGCAACAAAAACATCAAATGTTGGAAGGAATAAAATCTTTTGGAAAAAATGTGTGCAGTTTTTTTTGTGTTGTGTGTGTTGTATTCTGGAATGTGTGTTGTATTCTGGAATGTGTCTATTTGGGAAATGTTAATTCTGATTCTTGAATTTAACATTGACAAATAACCATTTTGCAGAAGGTTGTCTCCTTCCCCAGAGGTAAAATGTATTAACTCACAGTGTAAGTCTATTCAAGGACAATTGCAGTACATGTACCATTACATTCATTTTGGACCTGTATCAATATAAAATGATTTTTATATTATTTTTGGTACACAGCCCTAGTCAATGCCCTGATGACTTCATAAACAAAAGTGTCTACAAGGTTTTTTTCAATATATATATTCTGAGTTTGAAGCTAAGCTTATACATTAAATTCTTATACATTACAATTGTATTGCTGTAAATGTCAGTAATACTGATATGAAAAGGGCATTTCAAAATGTGAACTGATGTAACTAAGTCTGATACTATAGTCTACTTTTAGCCATCAAACTTATACTATCCTCATACAATATTGCGTGCTTTACTAGTAAACTGTATGTGCTATGCTTACACAATTATCTATACATGGGCAAAGTTCAAATATCGCATCACTGTTTAAGTTATTAGTATTTGTGAAATATGGTAACTGTACATTCTATATCATCTGTCACCACCAGTTGTTTCAATGAAGTCATGGCAACAGCAAGTGGACGCATCATGTCCTTCGCAATGTGCCTGAGAAATTTGCCTGTGCTACTAAACAGCTCCAAACGGCCGTTAACAGTGTCTGCCACAACGATGTTACCTTCCCAGGTAATGCAGATGCCAGAGGGACCCTGCAGCTGACCCTCTCCACTTCCCTCACCTCCAAACTTGAACAGAAGCTGTCCAGTGTCATTGAATACATAGACACAGTGATTATCATGGTCGGACACAAGAATGTTTCCTTCCTTGCCCACACTGATGTACCTTGGAAACTTCATCTCATGTAGGCTTATAGTACAGAATAATTGGAACTTTTGTGCAGTTGGACCATCTGGCTTATACACTAACACTTCACCACGCCTGTTGTTCTCTTTCCCTGTGGTTTGTGTGATGAGGATGTGGTTCCTCCTGGTGTCCACGGCAACTCCTCTGCCCCAACCTTCCTTCTGTAGCTCAAACTTTCCCTGTGCCTTGCCCTCTGTAGAGTACTGCACAGCAAAGCCAGTAGACTCAGTCTTCCCCACCACCCACAGGTTCCCTTCCCTGTCCGAGGCCACATCTTGTGGGTCCATCATTTTCTTACCTGACACAACTGTTGGGAACTGGTAGACAAATGTTCCCCACATGTTGAAGACTTGGATTCTCTTGTTCCTACTATCTGCTACAAATATGCTATCTTTGTCTGATACTGCAACACCAACTGGGTCATTGAAGTGTTCTTTTTCTGACCCCTCTTTACCAAATGTCACTTTCTGACTTTGATGGCTCCCTTGCATTTGGTTACCATGGAGTTGACCTTTGGGCCTAGGTGCTGCTGAAACTTTTGAAGATGGGAGAGACTGCACCATCACATGTCCCAGTCCTGGCACTGAGGTGTCCGACGTGGGTTGAAAGACATGCACAGCAGGCTGGGTTTGTACAGGAATTGGGGCTGCTTTCAGCTTGTATTTTTCAACCACATGTGTCAGACTGGTGTCCTGGCAAAGAAACTCAACATCTCTCTTCTCCATGTCTTGCTCTGCTTGATCACAAGCACCAGATAGTTCGTTGACATCTGCTAAGACTCTGTCCCTTTCATTTTGTATTCCCTTCAAGTTTCTTTGGTGGTTATTCTCTGATTTGGATAAGAGGCAATCTTTTCTCTCTCCCAGAGTCTTAGTGAGTTTTTCCAGGGTTTGGTTGTAGGCCTGTATGATGCTCTTGTCTGTCTTCTGTTTCTCTTCATTCAGAGTTTTCTCTCTTTCCCTCAGGCCTTTAAGAAAACTGCAGTAACCCTCCACAATGTTCCTCCCTTCAGTGATCAAGGCCTGGACTGTAGTTTTTCTGTCCCGTGCTGCTTTCTTGATGGCTGTTGTGGCATGGCCGTCATGAACTTCTTCTAAACACTGGTCACAGACTGGTATTTGACATTGTTTACAGTACACCTTGAGGGTCATTGAAGGATGAGAACTGCACGTACTTCCAGTTTGGGGGTAGTCACCAAGTGTCACTCCTGAAACTCTCTCACAAAGGTTTGTAACCAGGTGGTTGTCAGGCAAACCTGCGACCCCCTGGGGTGGCAGCCTTACCTGCTGACGACAGATTGGACACTGGATGGCCCCTCCCCTCCCTGCATGGTCCTGTAGACAGTCCTGACAGAAGGTGTGCTGACAGGGCAGCACCTTGGGCCTGGTGAACAGCTCCAGGCAGATGCTGCAGGGCAGTTCCTCACAGATTTGTTCCCTCAAAGTTGATGGTGCAGCCGCCATAATTTTGCTTCCTCACAAGTAACTTGTTTGTGTCACCTAATGTCAAAGTCCAGGTTACATTATTTGATCTTGCAATGGCTGACACAATGGTACGTATAATGAGCCTGAGCTAAATGTCAATAAAGGTATTTTGACCTTTGCCAGAAAGTTATGCCTTCGGTGGCATTCGTGTGTGTGTGGGTGTGCGAGTGTGTGTGTGTGCAAGTGTATGTGTGTGCGAGTGTATGTGTGTGTGTGCGAGTGTGTGTGCGAGCATATGTGTGTGAGTGTGTGTGCGAGTGTGTGTGTGTGTGAACACGATAACTCAAGAAGGCTTAGATGGATTGCCTTTGTGTTGAGGGTAGGTCATCAGTAGTTCTTCATGTACTGAAATATGTTGTTGTGTATGGATAGGATGTTCCTTTGTCAGCTCACATATCCTTTCAACACATTTAATACAACATTTCATATTGTTTTATAGTAAAGGTCTTTATTGACACCTCATTTAGTGAAGGAAAACACTTTTGTGAACACAACTCTTGTGAACATAACAATCTTAGTGAATGTGTCCATACACAATTAAAGTTATAAAAGTAATAAAGTAATAGAAGTTCGCTGTTATGTCATCTATAATATGATATAAGCTGTTGGCTTACATGAATACCTGTACATATTCTAAAATATTTTCTATGAATTCACTGTGCATCTGCCTATCAGTTATATATATATATATATATATATATATATATATATATATGTATGTTGAAACAAGTTTGTATTGTCTATATATAAGTAGACTAGTCATTCTATCAAGTGGCATAAGCCACTAAATGATACAATTACTCTTACTATCCATCTGAGTTTTTTCTAAGTTTTCCATTCCTCTAACATTAAAGATACCTTGTTGGTATTTAATTCTTATTCTACCATCATTTGTACTTAGTCTATTAATAGTGCTCCCAAGTCGAATATTAAATCAACTATTTATGAAATATAACCACCTAAATTAAATGTCTGCATTTTCTTGAATTGAAACCAACACACAGATAGCACAGAATTATAATGAAGTATATAGATAGATATCTTGTCTTGCAATTAATGAGATATTTTAATATTGTTGACAGCATTAGGAAAAGGGCATGCCAGGAACAATTTTAATTTTATTCCTGGATATATAGAAAGACTATGGAAAACATAAAAAGAACTTAAAAAGATTTCAAAACTTTGGGGTAGGGGCAGAATTCGAAGATACCACTCAACTTGAGCTTTTTGCTGCTCTTCCCATAGAGAGCACAATCAAACACTCAGACAGGTCTTATTTTCATTGTAGTGCGTTTTAGAGAATAATAGTAACCCTTCCAGTGATTCCAGTTGACGCCATCAGCATACGTACTGTGAGCACCCAGATGATACAGGCCGTTTAGGTTGGCGTTGTGACAATCACCATACCACCAAGCTCCTTTATACCTCTGGGAGCAGTGTGCTGCAATCGCATCATTGTCGCTATCCTTGGTGCTGAACCTCTGTCCGTTCTGAAAGGCCATGCTATCTCCTACATATACACAGCAAAAATTAGGCTTTCATCACTACTGCAAGCAATAGCCTCCTTTTAAGACTTGTACAACATCTATATCCTCTATGGCCGGCCAACTCCCCTGGCAGCTACATTCTTTTTAGGCCGATTTATACTATTTATTCAGAGATTACCCCCGTGGTTTAACTCCAATTTCTTAGCCTGTGTTAAATCGCGAATCAGCGCTCCCCTTCAAAAATAAATGCTACCTGAAATGTCTGACCGTTTCCAAAATCATAATCCAGTTGCTTGAGTAACTGCTTTTTGGTGTATCTTATTACCTGATGAATGTCTAGCCTTCATCGACGTATACGGAATGTCTTGACAAGCATGAAAACTACCCACCTGCATCTCCACTGTACCCACCGACGGTGAGCCTGTACTGATCAGACTCATCTGAGATGCTGAAGCTGCTGTAGGCCGCGTACGCCGTGTTCCCGGTAGTATCCTCCAGGTCCACCCGCAACCCGTAGGCCTTCTGCTCGGTCAAACGGTGCAGCTTGTCGTTCCCCAACCAGAACTCGCCGTTCAGGTTGGAAGGGAAGCCGGTCTTGTAGTCCGCCCAGCCCCGGTAGAAGTCAACAGTGCCGTCCTGTCGCTTCTGAAATACCTGTGGGAAAATCGCCGCAGAGACACTGATCATGATTGGTGTTTGCAGTCATGTGACATTATGACGCAATTTGGTGTCCGCCATTTTGGTGGGTTGAAATAAAAATGTATGCGAAGTCATTACATGAGAAATGTTTCAAACAACATATTTTATGTTGGCCTGCATGGTCTGCAAACGGTAATGAATTTATTCTTTTAACACTACTGTGCTGTATGAAACTAAATTCTAGCTATATCGATGCATTTATCTTTGTATGTATGCCTTTCTGTTATCAAATTTATTTAATGGTATGGGCCTTTGGTGCCTGAAATAAACAATAAAATACAAAAGTTAATCTACCTAAACATATTCCTGCTTTTCCTGGTTATTTTGAATAACAGACTGCAAAAACCTTATTGAAAATTCATTGACAAACAGAAAATATTGATTCTCAAAGAAATAATGCACGATATAGGCGGAATTCAAGACTTACCGTCCACCCACCGCCATCGGTGTGCATGTCACAGTACACCGGGAACCCCCCGAGGTTATCCGCTGGATAGACCATGTACACTCCGCTGGGGGTCAGCTCACTGTTGTCCAGGATTTCTTTACAGTCTTTTGGCCGAGTATTGGTATCTGCTATAAATCAAAAGTATCAATCGTCAACTATCAAAAGAAAGTAACAAAAACATTGCTGCTAAACCATGGGAATACAAAGCTGGTATTGTGAATTTGCCGTAGAAAATAGCAACATTTACGACGTATGCCGACCTACTGTGTCATTTATTATTATGAATCGGCAGGGTAGCCTCTACCAGGCTTCGGGAGACGGCTGGAAAGAGTACAAATTGGTCAAATAGAGAGATTACATGCCGAGGGAGTTGGTCTGCTAGATAGAACATTTTCGGGTGCGGCAAAATGTTCTCTCTAGCAGATCAACTCCCTCGGCATATGTAATCTCTTTGGCTGATTTCTACTCTTTCCAGCCGTCTCCCGAAGCCTGGTAGAGGCTATAGGCAGGGTAATGTAATAACGTTAAATCAGTGTAGGAATTATTAAATAATTATTATCACTCTTTTTATCACCATTAACAGACAATCACGTCTTACTTGATAAGCTCGCTATGCATATATAACAAGCAGCTACCAAGACCTACAATGACAGCATCTGAATATGCACGACATATCAAAAAGTTGCAGCACAAGTAACGTATATATCCCTAAGGGGATAACATAAGAATTCAGCTGGCCAACATTTGTTACACAGAAGTCGGTAGGTAAAAGTTCGTGTACTCACCAGTATCGTTACAGCAGTCACTAACAGTGGCCATAAGCCGACTGACAGTGGCCATAAGATGGTCCATTTTTCGCTCCAACTCTGGAACCCTGGCATCAGAAGCGCAGTTGCCGCCACAGTTCATGGTAACACTCTGGCTGGTGACGGAGCAGGACTGCACCGTGAACTCGGGAGCTGGCTTCGGCGGGGGGAGGTGCACCGTCGCCGCCGGGGCCTCGGTCGTCTGGCCCCGCACAGAGAACCCACCGAGCAGGCTCAACTGAAGCATTGCCGCCACGAGGAGGTGGTTGATCATGCTGACGATTTCAGTTTATGTTTACAAACATGAAATCCTGAAGTCCTAACTAAAGGAAAGTGTCATTTGCTTGTTCTTTTATACACATGTATGTCGTCATATTTCTAAATATAAAACACCGACGTCACGGTAATTTCCAATCTTTAAGTTGTCGAGTCAGGTATTTGACCTTTCAAGAACTGACAATCGACATCTTCGCTGTCTGTTAACACCTGGACAGGGCTCGAAATGCTCTCCAAGCAGAGGTTTGGACTTTGACATGTTTTAGGCTTCTTTTTAATTCGGCTTTCTTTCTGTACTGGTATCTTTTGTGTGTGTGTGTTGGGCTTAGCCTCTACCAGGCACCGCGGATCGCTGGAAAAATAGTAGAAATTGGCCGAAATAAAGGGATAGTATACCAGAGAAGATCTCGGGCCATAGAAGCTCCAATTTGCGACCCACGGGCTGGCACAGCAAAAGATACTAGTACATGTATAGTACAAAAAGAAAACCGATAAAAAAGCCAAACGAAATACTTTATTTCCTTCTGCTCTTGTGCGGGTATCCTTGGAAATAACCTGCAGTAAACAAATTTACCTGCATCACTTTACACTAAAACTACTAGTATGTTCTTTGAAGTAAAGATAAAACTACAGACTGTTAACAAACGATATGCAATTCTTTATAAAGCTTTTCGTAGGTGGTCATAAACAGTAAAAATTAATTGGCAGTTATCTACCCAATTCACGCATGGTATTGGTTTGGTGAAATTGACATCAGAAATACCTGCACAGCTCCAATTTTACCTGCACTAACCTGCATATACCCAGTACATGGACCAGTGCAGGTTAGGTGCAGGTAGACATCAGAAATACCTGCATAGCTCCAATTTTACCTGCAATAACCTGCATATACCCAGTACATGGAACAGTGCAGGTTAGGTGCAGGTACGTAGACATCAGAAATACCTGCACAGCTCCAATTTTACCTGCACTAACCTGCATATACCCAGTACATGGACCAGTGCAGGTTAGGTGCAGATAGACATCAGAAATACCCGCACAGGCTCCGAATTTGCCTGCAATACTCTGCATATACAGTAACTATTTCGAGCCCTGTCCCATCATGCATGGTTACATTTTGGCTGGAACAATCTAAGATCTGAGTTGAACAAGCTCTAAAGCTCGCCTGTCTATTTTTGTAGAGAATGGAGTCAACTGAGTGGGGAAACCCAACAGCTCTATAACGTCACCATTTTCTTGGTAAATTACCCATAATTTGTGACGCACGAGGAAATGCCTGAGGTAAAACGACCCAATATCTCCTCTAGCCCATAGGCTATTTGCATATTAACCAATTATACAGAATGTCCTTTAGCCTCTACCAGGCTTGGGGGCGCGGCTGGAAATAGTAGAAATTGGCCGAATAGAGAGATATAACACGCCGAGGGAGTTTAGCCATCCAGCTTACAGTTTGAGGGGCCGGCAAACTGTAAACTGGATGGTTAAACTCCCTTGGCGTGTTATCTCTCTATTTGGCCAATTTCTACTATTTCCAGCCGCGCCCTCAAGCCTGGTAGAGGCTAAATGTCCTTGGCATTAACCAATACTCACACTTCACGATATTCCTCTCGTTCACCTGAGTTACATATGTCACGAGTTTGAATAGTCCTGTCATGGAAGGTATCAGAATTATTAGAATTTCCTCATTGATTATATGCAAATTATATCCTAATATGCATAAATGCAACTGGATCACTTAACTTAACCTACATACCAAAAATCACAACGATCCGTCGACCGGTTCTTAAGTTATTCTCCTTCAAAAATTTTCTAAATTAACACTCCTGCAGTTCTAGAGCAAGCAGCTTGGGGGCCCAAACTCTCGTCACTTCTTCTCGAGCCCAAGAGCTACCCACCACCCAAAATTCGTGACCCTAGCGTGTCTAGATCACAAAATTTCGAACGGAAATTTCTGTTGCAGTACCAAAACAAGTCGCCAGGGGGACAAAAATCTAATCATTTCGAGGTCTCCGTTGATAGCAGACATTTTAAAGTACGGTCTGTTCATCAGAACACAGGTTTAATACTCTACACAGAGTACTCAATAGCCCACGAAGTGATATAGATCATGCAAGCTTGTCTCAGAAAATAGCAGGTATTAATTAAGTTAATATAAACTACGTTGGACAATCTCTACAATGTAGTCTAAATTTAGCTTATTTAGATGTCATAACAAATAAGCACCAGTGAACTTTAGCATGTAACTGTAGCATGCAACTTTTATGATTTTTGCAGGTAAACATCGAGCTACCCTTGTTTAAGAAGCTTCCCTTGTTTAGATGGATGTTGGGATGGCCGTCAGAAAATGCCACGACCATTCTTCCCAACATCTGCTTGGAGATTTAAATGCCCCGAAGGAAGTTGCGCAATCCAGGTCAGAGGACACCATCCAACATGGCGGCCTCTCCAGACGGCGTGGACAAAACTGGCGAAAATAAGCCACTTTTCCGGGACCTGACGGGTGACATTGGCGACCAGGAGGCCACAGAAATAGATGACACCTTATGTATGAACTGCCACGAATCGGTGAGGACGTAGTTCTTGGTTTTTATCCTTCTTATGCGAGAAAATCGCGAGAAGTGTGGGGGGGGGCGATTGACACATGGCTGTTAAAAAAGTTACGAACATTCTAGATTCCTCCAAATTGAGATTCAAACCTCTTTTATTCCCGCCAACGTAAGACCTCACTAGCACTTGAACAATCTCAAGATTTCAAAATCAGTTTCCTAGATCTACATGCTACAGCACTTGTTATAGAAAAAAAAAACAGTCGCTGCTAATTTATGTATGACTGCGAGCAAAAGACACGTTCCAAATTTTAAGTGAAGTCAAACCATTTTGAGCTCTAAATTATGAACCACTGAATAGTAAAAGCTGTTCTCCCACTGGTCGTGACAGAGCAAAAACAGACACGCTATTTGTATCAGAGAAATTCCCCCAGCTCTTTTCAACAAGTGTAAACAATTCAGTGTACAAAATACTTCTTTAAACCAGGTTGCCTACGGCAAAAATTAGGTTGCCCATCAGAATTTTAGGTTGCCCCACCTATAAATTACTACTTTCCTCAAATTAAGTAATGTTACATACATTTTACATACCTTTGACAATATTTCTAACAACCTTTAGTTAACTAATACTAGTAATAGCCATTAATACCTAAAATTAAAAAGCATCTACAAGTGGGCATGATTGGGGGGAGGGCATTCTTAGAATTCAGGTAGCACACTGGGCTAGCGCTACCTAGGTTGAAAAACAGGTTGACCCAAGTAAAATTTGGTTGCCCGGGGCAACGGGGCAACCAGGTATTTTGCATGCTGCAAGTACAACACTTATGCATGCTACATCTTATTCTTGTAAAATATATACAGAAAACATGATATATTCATCTTTGAAATAAATCTCAAACTAATGTTTGAACTTATGTGGACTGTGTTTACAAAAATTCCTGATTTTTCAAATTTCTCTTTGAGTAAGAATTACGTTAAACAGAGCAGTAGTTTGCTGGGTTAGACCTGGTGAAGGTGAAAATTACTTTTAGTAGAAAATTCTTAAATAAGTGACTGTATTTTGTAAGGTAAATCACGTACCTCCAAATTTTCGGTGTCGACTGTACACCTTGATCACGGAGTGACCTAGTCTCGCAAGAACACGAGACTAGGTCGAGACTTGTGTGGATTGCTTTGCAAAGTTTAATTCTGTTCAATTTATAATAACCAGTGTAAATAATCCTAACTACAGGGCACCACGCGACTGTTGATGACGAGAATTCCGTACTTCCGTGAGGTTGTACTGATGTCGTTCGACTGTCCGCACTGCGGCTTCGCTAACAACGAGCTCCAACCGGCCAGTACCATTCAGGAGCAGGGGGTGAGGGTCACACTCAAGGTGGAGTCAAGTAAAGTAAGTTGGTTTTCTGACTCCAGATATTATGTTATGTTCAAAACGGCTTCATCACCATCAAAATTAAAATATTTTTTATTACTGAATCGTCAGTGATTTCTATAACTTATTTTCATATAAAAGTAGTAGCTTGTTTCTTAATGTACTGTCTTTTGGAAATATTCAAAGTAATTGACACAGACTTCTATATTCTCATGGAATTCACAAACTCCTGTCACAACTTTAATTCAAATGTTAAAACAGCCAAAAGATTATTTACATACCATAATTGTACTCTAAGTCAGTAATTATCATTGCAATTTAAAACTTACACAGTATCAATATTATTTTTTGGGGTCTGTAGATTTGTTTATTTGATTACTCTGATGTCCCGATTAAACGTACCGGTACGTTTATTTTTTTCGGCCCGAACGTCCACCCGGTACACTCTTATTAGGGACGGTACGTTTATTAATTTTTGGGAAAAAAATTGTCCATACGTACCGCACCATCAGCAAGTGGCCGGCGGCCGCAAAATTCGGCAACACGTCACAGATAAATATTTGGTCCATGATAGCGGCATTTCCCATGAATATAATGTATATTATTTATTTTTCGCCTGCTGTCCATTTTTAAGTCCCAAAACGTCTGAAAAAGCAAAAATTTGCCCACAAAACGGCGAGTAGCTAATCGACGTATTTAGCACACGGCGGCCGCAAGTCCTTGTCAAAATCGGCAACGCGGCAGAAAAATGCCTGGTCCATTTTAGCGATATTTACCATGAAAAAAACGTATGTGGTTTATTTTCCCTCTGGTGTTAGTTTTTAGGTCCCGAAACCCCTAAAAAAGTAGAAATTTGCCCACAAGACGGACGGCCGACGTGGGGAGGGCGCCTAGCGCCTGAGCAGCATGACCCGTAAAAAGTCAAAGGTCATAGGGCACCCATATTGCGCAATCACCGTAAAAGCGCCGATTTAGCTAATTTTAGGGCGTTTAAAATTGATACAATCACATTATCGATTTTTAAAAAAACAATGAGATGGAAACCAATAAAAATTTTATGCTGAATAATATTTTTTTCTTCAAAAGTTTTTTTCTTCAGAAGTTTTTCTTCTTCAGAATCCAGACTTTGACCAGACTAGACAATGTACCATACCAAATAATTATTATGTTGAAATGGATTTTGTTGTACATATACTCATTAAACCCCTATATTTGTACTTAATTGGGCTTGATTTTCTATCTCTTAAGTTAGTCAGATTTTCAACTCAAGTTGCAGGAGAAGGCTTAGCAAAGTGCATTTCAGAAGTGTAAAATGCAATAGCTTCTCCTACGGATTTTGTATTTCCCCAAAACAAGTACAATATATATATACTCATTAATTAAAGTGATATATACTCACTAATTAAATGTAACAGTGAAAGATTTGCCCATATATTGGTATTGAAATAAAGAGCACATTTTAGTATCATGCACACACAGTTCACCTGTCAATTTGGTCATTTTCCGGAGGGTACGTTTATTCCGGAGGGTATGTTTATTAGACTTTGAAGATTTGTCCGGGGGGTATGTTTATTCCGGGGGGTATGTTTATTAGGGACATGAGAGTAGCAAACTCAGAAACATATATACACTGTACATTGTCTCACTCTGATCGTAATTATAAGTATATGTGACCAATCTAAAAGCTGTTGCGATAATTAAAACATTGCACTAACTTTGTTCCACAGGATCTGAATCGACAAGTAGTGAAGGCTGAGTCTGCTTCTCTGTCTATTCCTGAACTTGACTTTGAAGTTCCACCAAATACACAAAAGGGAGGTAAGAAAATATGTACATGTAACGTTACCTATCACATAGTCTTTGTATCTGGAAAACCATTCTTTTGATAATGATTTATAATAAAAAAAAACAATGAGGAACATAAAGTACCCCATTTATGAACGTGATTCTTGACAAGCAATAAGGTTGACACTTGACTTAAACTGTGCATTACATCTGTAAGGTTGAAGGTTAGAGTTTCCAAATCTTCAGATGTCTCTCCAGATTTAAACCGGCCTACATGTTTTGCTACACATGCTTTAACCTTTGTCATCCTGTAGTACTGCCTTTTGGTACTAAGGCCCGATTCACACGATGAAAAATAAAAGTGTCGGGCGTCGTTCGACGCGCGCGCGCGCCAAGTCGCCTACGACACTTTCCCGTTTACACACAGGGACCGCAGCCCCCGCTTCGCACCGCAGCTGTGGCGGGCTGTGGCGGTCTGCGCCGCGCTGTGTCACATGTGGTGAACTCTGACCTGCCGCTACGACTGTTCGAATCCCTGATTCTCTGGTACGAGTACTTGAGGTCTCTTATCTTCTTCTGGACTTGTTTGGAGGTCCTATAATTGTATCCCTCCTGCTTCATGCCCTCGGCAATGTCTCCGAAGGCCTCCTTCTTTCTGAAAGTTTCCATTTTGCTCTGAATTCTTTCACAGTTCCACAGCCCGATCAAACAGCGCGTTTCAGCGCTGGTCCAGTTAGATCGGTTGACTTCTGCCATACTCAGCAAACAAGCAGTAATGCTTAGCAAACAATCCGTACAAAATAATCCGAAGAAACAACTAACAACAAGTAGAAATTGATAAAGAAGTGGAATGAATAGATACAAACAGAGGAGCGTGGCGTGGGTTTCAGGCTAGCGCGGGAATGAAGAAATTTGCATGACCTTCTGTGATGCGGAAATGGGCCGGGCTGCGCGAACTGCGCGCGACGCAGGTCTGTTTACATGATGTTTTTCCTCGCCGCAGACATCCCGCTGTGTGCCGCGACGCACTTGTGGCACCTCCTGAAGGTGCCACAGAAAAAACGACACAAGGCGCCGCGCGGCGGTGGCGGGCCTGTTTATACGATGGAAAAATGTGTCTTACAGCTTGCGCGCGATGCGCTGCGCGCGCGCGCGCGTCGAACGACGCCCGACACATAAAAACGACGCACATGTGAATCGGGCCTAAATCTGCATCGGTGTAATACAGGGTTAGGTAGTAATTATGTTTACCGAAGGAAAACATGTTGTTTTTGCTACGTTTCCTCTTCTTCTTCCGTTCCAAACAATGACCTCTGACCTGACTGAACCAGACTGTCTCTCATTCAGGTCTGGTTCAGGTCATTGACCATGTTGAAGACTGTCTCAGACTGTCTCTTAGGTGTTGGGTTACATAATTTTGCAATTTTATAGTATAAGTGATTTTGACTCCTGTTTGACCATATATACATGTATGACTGTGTTTGAGTAAGAATTAACAGAGCAGACCATATGCAAAGGTTAACATTATGCATTTGCTTTGCAAATGTTACTTTTCTAGTTTCAGTATTAATTGTCTGTCTTGTTCTCAGTTCTAACCACAGTTGAGGGAGTGATTGATCGAGCTGTGAGAGGGTTGGAGCAGGAACAACCAGTTAGGAGGGTAAGGATGGAGACTGGTCTTTTATTTTGTAAATAACTTTGAAAGTTGTTTGTTTTATTCTTGACATAAGTCACAAATCTATAATGATGGGGATGACTTTCGGACTAGTTTGGAGCTGTCTGTACTATCTGTACATGTATCTGTATAGCCGGTATAACCGCCCTTCAGAGCAACACACCAGCTTCTGTACATGTATCTGTATAGCCGGTGTAACCGCCCTTCAGAGCAACACACCAGCTTCTGTATCTGTATAGCCAGTATAACCACCCTTCAGAGTAACACACCAGCTTCTGTATCTGTATAGCCAGTATAACCGCCCTTCGGCATAACACACCAGCTTCTGTATCTGTATAGCCAGTATAACCGCCCTTCGGCATAACACACCAGCTTCTGTATCTGTATAGCCAGTATAACCGCCCTTCGGCATAACACACCAGCTTCTGTATCTGTATAGCCAGTATAACTGCCCTTCAGAGCAACACGCAAGCTTCGCAGGCACACGGCGCGGCAGCAGCTGGCTATATCACACAGAACAACTTATTACACCTAACTCTTGAACATCTAACTCTGAACATTGTTTAAAGCTGTCTAATAATAATGCTCGTACTGTACTTGGTGACAGTGAGTTCCACTCTGCGATAGTTCTAGGAAAAAATGAGTTTTTGAACACCTCAACCCTTGCTGTATCAAGACTGCTATACTAGTACTCAATGTCGTCGGTGGCGTAACGGTTAGAGCGTTGGACTCGGAACCGAGAGGTCCCGGGTTTGATACTCACTGTGGCCCGACTTTACAGGACTTCCCCACCTGTACTGTGGAGTGACGACCACCGAGCCTCTTAGGCTAATCTGTCTAACTGTGTGCCAAAAACACACTACGGATTTGGTGCGCCAATGTGACAACATCTGCACATTGGCCACTGAGAGCCGTAAATTTTTTTTTTTATACTCAAATGTTGTGTCTTGTTTTTGTCAGGCTATGGATCCAGCAGTTGCCGAGAAAATTGATGCCTTCATAGAGAAACTGAGAGAGCTGACAGACCTCAAAACTCCTTTCACAATGGTAGGTATAGAAGTAAATTTTGTGACAAGATGTCAGCAATTGAATATAATTGAATATAAGGCCACACCAATTTAATTTGTTGCTTCTCGGATTTTTTTCGGAAAAAATATGAAGTGACAGGGCAAAAAAACAGGAAGGCACCCCATGATAGCTGGAAATGTTACAATATGAGCCATGAAGTGAACATACCAGGCTGGTTTATAATTATAACAATAGATTTTGAACTTTTAATGAAACAAAATTGCATTGTTACATTAATAACTTAAACAACTAGGAAGAAAGGGACTTTCTTCAACCATTTGCGCCAAAATATGTCTTTCATTGAGCTTTTTGCAGTTGATTTAGAACTTAGAAGCAAATTTTTTTTTGCGAATCAGAAAAAAATGGACAGGGCGAATCCAAGAAACAACAACTTCAATTGGTGTGGCCTTAAGTACCTGTAACAAAGCTTTTTATAACTGCTGCTACGTTGATTTCTAGTTTGTTGTTCAGGTGAAAATATTACATGGGAGAATATGGTTGCATTTTTTGCATCCAACATAATAGTTACTGTATTGTGAGCTGAATATATTTGGTATTTTTTAGAAAAGTTTTTAGAAATAAACAGATGTGTACGAAAACTTTCTTGCTTACTTGAAATTTTACGAATCATCTAAATTAAAGGATTTTTATTCTCTTTTCAGGTTCTGGATGACCCAACAGGGAACAGCTTTGTGGAAAATCCATATCCTTTATTTTTATCAATTTTTTGTAAAACTTGTCACAAGTCTTGGTTTGAGTGACATTGTCTTCTCTTTAATTTTTTGAAAGTAGCTTAAAAGGCAAAAACTTCAAAATTTGCTAAGGAGTATTAAATTAAAAGTCAAATTGTGCAGCCTTCATTTTAGTACCACAGACTACTCTAAAGTTATTTTTATGTTTTTTTTTCTCTTGGCAGTTTCAATGCGTCACACATGTAAGTATATGAAAAAGTACCAAAAGAAATATTGTTGTATTTTTCCCAGCTTGCATCCAGTTCTAGAAATGATATCTATAGATGATATGAATGAATGATTGGTTATCCCCATATAGTACAACCATGAAACTACATAAACACTAAACATACAACAATTTATACACATTTTTAAAGTACGTATTTCTGAACTGACAGTCAAGCCTCAATAGACAGGATATAATACTATTGTTGGTGGCGTAAAGTTTATTACTGATACGGAATAACACAATTTCCTGCGTCTAGCATCGAAAGTATCGGTCGAGAGGTGTACAAACATTGAACTAGCACTACAACCTCTTGGCAACTTGAGGACAATACGAAAGCAATTATTGTATGCAACATGACACTTAGCTAGTACACTCGCATGAACAGTGCATATATGTTGAGGCATATTTATATCATTATATTGTCTTAAGTCTATACTTGAAAGGCATCTTTGTTTTCACTGAAATCTTCCTTAACAGTCTTACATTTGCTCCTTCTCAAGACAAGAATGTCACCTTGGTTCACTACCCCAGAACTAGAGAACAAAACATCCAACTTGGATTTCAGGTTAGTTCTTACTTTCCAACAATTTCTCCTCGATCTCTTATTCTTCATACAGTCATGTTGATTTGATTATATGGATGACATCCTCTGGGAGCCCCAGAATTTGTTTCATAGTTGACTACATTAACTGATTATTAATTTGATTTCGAACTTAAGTTACCTTATGTTACTTAATTATGTTACTTTGATAATGTCAGTGATCACTCTGATTCGAACTCAGCTTATGTTACTTAATTACGTTGATTATTTTAAATTATTCAATTTATGTTAATATTGAGTTGAATTCTGTACAATTCTGTTATAATTTTGAATTTTATGTGGACTCCAGGAAGAATAGTGGTCAGTTGAACACTAATGGAGATCTAATAAAAACAAACAAAAAACAACAACAAACAAACTGATGCATACGTGCAAATAATAAAAAAAAAAACTGGCAAAAAAAAGGTGCTTTCATTCTTAAACCCACATGGTCATGAAGGCTGAACAGATGACAAATGGTATGGGATGGCAAATAATCTACTCTTTTCAAATTCATTTCTTTACATTTTCATCTTTTTCGTTGATTTGGGCATTCTATGACATTGGTATAATTGTTTTCCAATATTTATTTACGCAACTTATGGTATATATTTGCTAATTTTGCAACTGTTCTGTACGATTTACAGCATGGTTGAAAACTTGTCATCCATATAATCAAATGAACATGGCCTAATAATGATATGTTTTATTGTGCAAAAAAATAATAATTTCTCGTTTGTATGATGTAGGCTGAAACTTCAGAAGAAGAACCTACAGACACTGACAAAGCTACAGAAAATGGAGAGGCAGAAAACTTGGCTGATGAGGTTAGAAATCTGGGTTTTATATCATAAAGAAGTATATGACAGAATGATATGACATAGACGTACAAACAAATGATTGTAGACTTTGGACTTCTAAGTGTAGCAGATCGAGAGCATGTTACATGTATGTCAAATGGCAAGCAAATACTTTAATTTTTTACATTTGATGTATAATATAGTTTGTAGAAAAAAAGTTGTTGTTGATTAACATGACCATGTAACAAAAAGCCTCAGTATGTTGTTATCTGTATGTTGCAAGTTACATGCATTATTAAGGCCACACCAATTTAATTTGTTGGTTCTCGGATTTTTTCTGAAAAAATATGAAGCGACAGGGCGAAAAAAAATAAAAATAAAAACAGGTCTAGGCATCCTATTATAGGCTTAAATGCTACAAAATGAGCCATGAAGTCAACACAAAAGGCTGGGTTAAAATTCAAACATTGAATTTTGAACTTTTAATCAAACCACTGCAATGATAGATGGGAAAACTGTAACAACTAGGAAGAAAAGGACTTTCCTCAACTGTTGGGGGGCAAAACATGAGCATTTTTCAGTTGATTCAGGACCAGAATCAAATTTTTTTTTTTTGCAAATCAGAAAAAAACGAAGAGGCGAATCCGAGAACCAACAAATTGAATTGGTGTGGCCTAAGTACTAAAAATATAGACTAGGAGTCTAGGACAGAATATGCTTAGCTTATGTTTAAGATCAGTATTAAATTTTTGTTCCCGAAGGTCCTGAGTTTCAACACCAACTGTCCCAACTGTCAGAGTCCTGTTCCAACCAACATGAAAGTTGTCGGTATCCTTTCAGTGTCTAAAGCAATGTGGACTTGATTTGATTGTTTGATTTATTTAAATTGCAACAGTGCAATACATGCGGAACAGAGGCAGCTGTTGCTGGTGTTGTGTCCCGCACATAGAAACAAATACTGAACAGACAATACTAATTTTCTCTCGAGTCTAGTGGGGAAAGTTGTGTAAAGTGCCTTTCCCAAGGGCACAAGATCGGTGGCATGTCAGGACTCAAACCCGGGACCTCTTGATTCTTGCTCCACACAACCCCATATAAAGTTTGTTCTCCCCCTAAGGAATAATTGGAAAAGTATATGCTTTTTTTCAAGTGCTAAATCACAACTGATATACTACCATAAATCACTTTATACTCTCAGTAGCAAAAGTTTGCGGCTTGAGAAAAATTTGACATGTTCATAGAACTATACGTTTGCGGTGGCAACAGGTGCAGCAAAAAGAAAGTTGGTAAATTATTTGCACTAGCACGGATTGCGGCAATGTTTGTTGTCATCTGACTGTTTACATTCTTTTTAGGAGCCTCCTAAAAATACATGTACAGTGGGCCTGGCGCAACTTATTCTCGCACTGTGCTAATTCGCTGGAAAAGCGAAATAGTAACGCTAATATGTTAACAGTTATTGAAAATAATAATCTAGATGAGAAAATTGCAATTATTTAACCCTTGTCCTGCTGACATTCCTGGCACAATATTTTTCAATAATTTCATGTCTAAATTAGATCATAGACCCCCCAATTTTTTTGCCCTGCAGTGGCATAGTTACTTCCGCATTCGTTGCGTTTCGCTGCGGTGGGATGCGTTGCACGAGAAATACCCCCAAATCGTACATATACAGGGTGCTATATAGATGGTACTGTATGTGCAGAACGACAAATGTTGCGCTCAGCAGGACAAGGGTATTAATATATGTACAGTTTTGCCACAAAAATCTTACATAATATGACTTTAACCAGGCCATCAGACATCCCATATTTCAAGCAGGTCATCGTCATGGCAACGACCTGTGACAGATGCGGTCATAGGTCAAACGAGGTCAAGTCTGCTTCAGGTGTGGCAGAGAAAGGTCGTCGGATGACCTTGAACATGACTGATCCCAGTGACCTGACAAGGGATGTCCTAAAGGTAACAAAAGTGTACTGTATATGTTCATCTTAGTGGCCACACCAATTTAATTTCTGGGTTAACGGATTTTTCTAGAAAAATAATGGAGCGGGCGGGCAAAAAAAAATAGATAAAAACAGGCCTAGGCATCCTATTATGGGCCAAAATGGTACAATAGGAGCCATGGAGTCAACACACCAGGCTGGTTCAAAATTTAAACAATGAATTTTGAACTTTTAATGATACCATTGCATTGAAAGATGGAATAACTGTAACAACTAGGAAGAAAGGGACTGTTTTCAACTGTTCAGGGCAAAAATGAGCATTTTTTTTTTGCAAATCAGAAAAAAATGAAGCGGGCGAATAAAAATAAAAACAGGCCTAGCATAGGCATCCTATCATGGCCCAAAATGGTACATTAGATCCATGAAGTCAACACACCAGGCTGGTTCAATTTAAGCAATGAATTTTGAACTGTAACAACTAGGAAGAAAGGGACTGTTTTCAACTGTTCAGGGCAAAAATGAGCATTTTTTTTTTGCAAATCAGAAAAAAATGAAGCGGGCAAAACCGTTAACCAAGAAATTAAATTTGTGTGGCCTTAGGTTGACTAATTAAGCCCTTGGCCCAAAATAAAACAGCTGTACGGCCACAGCAAGTAAATTTTATGGATGACATCCTCCACAGACTCCAAATCTAATGTGAGCGGGCGAAAAAAAAATTGGTGGGCAAAATAAAGAAGATTTCTTGGTTTTCAAATTTTGAGGTCATACTCAGATTCAAAAGCCTTGTTTAAGATTGAGGCAACTAAAAAAAAAATGATATCACAACCAACAGGTCTTTTATATTCCAAATACTGTCTTGCTGCACTTCTTGATGTTTTCATATATTTTGACCCATAGAAAAAAAGGCAAAAGAAGAAAGTATTTTGTTGTACCAAATGTCATGACGTTCGGTCTGAAAATCAAGCTAAAAAGGTACTGTAGTGTAACAATGTTACTAATATTTTTTTTTTTTAACCAAATTTAACATCATTTTTCCCCATTAACCGGGGGTTAGACGTGCTTGCACCAGGTACAAGTCTTTTTTTGAAGCAGATTTTTACGGCTGGATGCTCTTCCTAACCGTTAACGCCAACCCAAACCCTAGTAGGGCCCAGGAGCCCTCTAACTGAGGGGGGAAATATGCGTAAAGTGCCTTTCCCAAGGGCACAACGTCTGGGTGCAAGTCCGGACATGTCTGGGTCCAACCCTGGGGATTGAACCTGGGTCTTCTTGCTTGACAGTCGGACGCTCTGTCCACTACACCACACACCACACAGACGCCACATATGTTTTAGACAATGGATTACTAGTATACCCTAGTATAAAGTGAAGTAATTCTATGTTTTTAACTCCTTCATATTTTGTTCTCTCTATTGTCCAGTCGGAGACGTGTACTGTCAGTATTCCTGAACTTGACTTTGAGCTGAGTCTGAGCTACGGGATCGGAGGAAAGTTCACCACACTAGAGGGGCTCATCATCAATATCAAGGAACAGGTCGGAATAGATTCTTTGTGAAATCTGTACATTTTTCACATTCCTAGTGGCTCAAGCTCATGTATGTATTTGTGCAGTGTGTTTTTTTATGAAGTAACGCCACACCGCCTTAATTTTATGGATGACATCTGCGCGTGCATTGATTTTCGCCTGTTCTCAAAAAAAAATAAAATAAAAAGATTACATCCTCCGAGGCTCTGGCCTGGCTCTAGGCCTGGGTAGTTCATTTTAGCTAGCTACAATACGGAGCCGGTGGTAACTCTGGAGGACGGCACCCAGGCTACCAAAGCTCCACGACTCAACTTGAACTCAGTACATACGTACAGTGCCGATTCATGAATTCCGGAAAAAGCCAGCATATGCACGTGCCGGCTTGTCGTATACGTCGCTAAGGCCACACCAATTTAATTTCTTGGTTAACGGATTCGCCCGCTTCATTTTTTTCTGATTTGCAAATAAAAATAAAAATTCAGAATCAACTGCAAAATGCTCATATTTTGCCCTGAACAGTTGAAAACAGTCCTTTTCATCCTAGTTGTTACAGTTATTCCATCTTTCAATGCAATGGTATCATTAAAAGTTCAACATTCATTGTTTAAATTTTGAACCAGCCTGGTGTGTTGACTTCATGGCTCCTATCGTACCATTTTGGGCCATAATAGGATGGCTAGGCCTGTTTTTATTTATTTATTTTTTTCACCCGCCCGCTCCATTATTTTTCTAGAAAAATCCGTTGACCAAGAAATTAAATTTGCGTGGCCTAAGGACTGCTGTAAATTCACAATACCAGCTTGGTATTCCTGTGGTTTAGTAGCATTTTTTTTTTTGGCTGGAATTTTTCTTTATTCGCCCGCGCGCACTAGTTTGTGGGTCTTCAGAGGATGTCATCCATAAAATTATTAAAGTCGGTGTGGCCTAAATCGTACCTCACCACTAGTGTTCATGTTGACTGATATTTCTTGCCCAGCTGGAGATGAATGCCTTCTCCTTGGGAGACAGTTCCACGGCTGCTGGGAGTAGCAAGATGAGAGACTTCCTGGCAAAACTGACGGAGGTGGGTGGGATCATCTAATGCCTGCTTCTTTCGTTCATTTTTATGATCATTCATTCATTGAATTTCATTCTTTCACTCATTCCTTTCCATTCCGTTTCTGCTTCTTTTGCTCATTCTTTGTGATCTTTAAATTCATTGAATTTTATTTTTTCACACATTCCTTTCCTTTCCATTCTTTATTCCTCCATCCTGGGAGAGTTTCTTGAACTAAAATACATGTACATATAGTACAACTGTACCAGTAAATGCAGCTACATGTACTTCTCTCACATAACAAATTACTAGCCTTAAAACTCTGCGTCTTTCTCACTGAATGATCTACACAACATCATGTACATGCTCTACTGCTAGTACTGGGTCCTTAAATATACCCACAAGTCTAAGGGTTTTTATTTCAAAGCATTGAAACACAAGTCCTTGTACACAAGGTACTAGACTAAGTGTAGGGGCCCTCGGGTGTTTCTGACGGTTGGTCATACAGTGATGAAGTGTGCTATAGATATGGCCCTGATTTTCCCCCTTCCTTTCTCACATGCAAAATCTGTTACACTTGTAGATTGTAGTCTGGATTCATGCTGTACTCCCACATGTGTGACTTGGGAAACTTCTGTAATGGTTAAAGTTAACCACCACATATTTTTTCACAGATTGCCGAGGGAAAGAGACTGGTTCAGATTCAACTGGATGACCCAGCTGGTAACAGCTATCTTCAGGTAAAACCACTTTCATCAATTTGTGCAACTAATGGATATCCCAAGAAAGCATCAAAGTATCATCAGTGATATTACATTGTTTTTAATTAGTAAATGAATGAATGAATGACTTTATTTCAGGATACATGTATCCCCATAGTACAAAGTTTAATATAAAACCACATAAACACTAAACATACAACAATTTATACACATTTTAAAAATACGTATTATCTGAACTGACAGTGAGACCTCAATAGACAGCATATGATACTATTGTTGGTGGTGTAAAGTCTATTTAATAAAAATTAAATGAAGGAATAACACAATTTCCTGGGTCTAGCATCGAATGTATCGGTCGAGAGGTGCACAAACATTGAACTAGCACTACAACCTCTTGACAACTTAAGGAGAATACGAAAACAATTATTGTATGCAACACGACACTTAGCTAGTACACTCGCATGAACAGAGTTCCATAACTGGACTCCAAACAACTGAGAACAGTAGGACATAAACAAAGTCTTTTTCACAACGGGAGAACAATGATAGAATTTACGATTTATACAACTACAAAAACTGACCCCTATGGCCAAGTGACCACTATACAGGGGTGACTGCTAGTACAGGTTTGACTGTATATAGATACAAAACCACTGTTCTAGCCAGCGTCCGTCTTTCTGTCATTTGACAGAATTTGCTGTGCACAATGTACAAAATTTTACATAATTCGTCATCTTTGATGGCCAAAAATCGGTGTGTAAAGAGATGGAAATTTTGTTTCAAAGAGTCAAGATTTCAAAACTTTTCAAGGGAAGCATGCCCCCAGATCCCCTTAGGATTGTATCTCAACATGATGTTACATGTTCAAAACAAAATTGAGACGATGAAAAAAAAATCAGGCTGACTAGAACACTGGTTCAAACAATGGTGAACTGTTTATTGTTCTTGTGTAAAAAAAACCTGTATTATCAGTAGTTTTCATGCTTCCTTTACAACAAGCAACTTATGACTAGCTGTTCTGGGAGTAAAACTGGTTTCAGGTAGCATATATTTCCTGCTCACATAATTAGTAATATGTAATCAGTTACCTAATACCAGCCCAGAAGAGAACAAGAAATAGCCATGCCTTCAAGTACCAGAGTTATCAAATTGGATTGAGGTGTTCAAGAACTCGTTCTTTCCTAGAACTATCACAGAGTGGAACTCGCTGTCACCAAGTACAGTAGGGGCATTGTCATTAGATAGCTTTAAACAAAGTCTAGAGTTAGATGTTCAAGGGTTAGGTGTAACAAGTCGATCGGTGTAATGTATCCAGCTGCCGCCGTGCCGCATGCCTGCGAAGCTGGTGTGTTACGCCGAAAGGCAGTTATACCGGCTATAAAGATACAGAATCTGATGCAGATACATAAGTGACCAAAATGTTTTTTTACAGAATGTTTATGCTCCAGACCCTGACCCTGAACTGGTTGTCGAAGATTACATAAGGACTCATGAGCAGAATGAAGACTTGGGGTTGAATCAGATGAAGACTGAAAACTATGGAGAAGACAGTTGATGAAAATTGATGTGAAAAATGGAAAATGGTTTAAAGTTTTATTAATGTTATTCCAGATTTTTTTCACAGACTGGCAGTACTTTATGTTCACGGTTTTCATGGTCCATCATGTATCTTAAACTTATTATTACTGTTATCAAATCATTTGAGGACATGTTAATTTTTCTCAGGCCTTGAAATTTTTTGACCATAAAATTAAGGCCACACCAATTTAATTTCTTGGTTAACGGATTTTTCTAGAAAAATAATGGAGCGGGCGGGCGAAAAAATAAAAACGGGCCTAGGCATCCTATTATGGCCCCAAATGGTACAATAGGAGCCATGAAGTCAACACACCAGGCTGGTTCAAAATTTAAACAATGAATTTAGAACTTTTAATGATACCACTGCATTGAAAGATGAAATAACTGTAACAACTAGGAAGAAAAGGCCTTTTCAACTGTTCAGGGCAAAATATGAGCATTTTGCAGTTGATTCTGAATTTTTTTTGCAAATCAGAAAAAAATGAAGCGGGCAAATCCGTTAACCAAGAAATTAAATTGGTGTGACCTTAAAGACTAATTATAAGTGAATTACAGTATTTTAACTTTATCTCAGGTGCCAATAAGATGAGGTGAGGCTAACACAGTCGGTAGAAAGTTAGAAACAAGCTTCTTTCAGGAACTGATATTTCAAAATTTGTAAGTCTTGTGCTGTTGATGGATAATCTGTACTGCCAAGTTGCTGAAAACATCAGATTTCATGATGACAAATCCTGTAACATGGACAGTACTGTGAGGGTTATTTTTCGAAAGATTGGGGATAGTGTGATACAGTGGTGATAAATGGTTTCCTTGCCTAATAAACAAGAATTCGGAGATCTCATACCTCCATGAAATATATGAGTTTTCGTACGTTTTTGTATTTGTCTCATTGAATATGGAAATAATGTCGTAATTAGCATTATCTAGTTTAATTTATGGTTTTCTCAATTCAAATGATAATATTTTTTGTGTAAAATTTCTCTCCTTTGTCATACTTCATTTCAATATGTCCTCATTAATTATGCAAATGGTTCACACCACTTATTCCTGACAGGAAGTCAAGCATGTTCAGGACAAAAGATACAAAAACCGGAAGTTCTGCTGCAGTACCAAGGTCATCCACCAGGAGGCCCATATTTGACCTTGACCTTTGTCTTCCTAAGACCTACCAGCATACCAAATTTCATCACAATCCATAAAGGCGTTATGAAGTTATGCTGACTACAAATGTGTGGAAACACAAACACACACACAGACAGACAGACACGCCAATGACAATACCTCCATTTTTCATGGAGGTAATTATCAGAAAGATCTGTTAGTATGTACTAAGTTTTCCATGAACTGTGTATGTATGTATGTTTGTGCCAAAGTGTATCTGAATGCGTGTGTGTGTGTGTTTGTGTGTGTGAGTGTGTGTGTTTGTGTATCTGAATGTGTATGTGTGAGTGTGTATGTGTGTGTGTGTGTGCGTGTGTAAATTTGGGAATTCCTTCTAAGCCCTAACAATGATGCTTCATTTGAATAATAAAACATATCATCTGATCTAACGTAGAAAAGCTTGAAGGATCCTAGAGAACAGGTATTCAGCATTGTTAAATACCAGGGTTACACCACCTCAGTGATATGAATCACAAGCGACACCTAGCGCTTGCAAGTATCAGGCTACTAGTAATTCGGCTCGTACAGCTTCAAAACTGATTTTTTTTTCTCGAAATGCAAGACGACTGCTGATTACTGAACGGTGCACCATGAGTTTGACGGTAGGGTGTGGGGATATGGTTTTGTCACCTGGTCTTTGTCCCGCCGTTTTGTGAAACAGGACAGCAACCAAACTGTAGAGGATGTGCGCGTTGAATAAATTCCGGTAGGGGGCGCTCGCACGCGGTCTGTTTTTGAGTTTTTGAACAAACGATTTTAACAAAATCGTTGATGTTAACCCAAACTCGTGCCATAACCCAATAAGATTTGACGCACCACAATCATCAAAATTATTTCTGTTTTAATCAATCAATAGGCTTTATTCACTCTGGAAGAATGGCAAAGCAAATGGCTCTACATAATGTCTAACATTCACTGAGCCAAATGAACCGTACACGTACTGTATACATGTGAGGTAATGCGTTGCCTTTCAGTCTCAGGCGATATATACACAAAGGCTATTGACGTACAAAGCCGTGGGCAAGTTAATAAGTAACGAAACACTGTTCATGTAGGTATGGCAGGTGGAACGATCCGGCAGTGAAACAGGAAAAGTTCCGCTTGAGTCAGAGGGGAAACCCAGAACTCTCACCAGTACAGGGAGGAACAGGCAAGTCTCAGTACCCCGGGTAGGTTCACAGCTGTGGAGTCTCAGACATCGAAGTGAGATTTAGACACATCTCAGACATCCAGGTGAGCTTTAGACACATCTCAGACATCCAGGTGAGCTTTAGACACATCTCAGACATCCAGGTGAGATTTAGACACGTCTCAGACATCCAGGTGAGATTTAGATACGTCTCAGACATCCAGGTGAGCTTTAGACACGTCTCAGACATCCAGGTGAGATTTAGACCCGTCTCAGACATCCAGGTGAGCTTTAGACACGTCTCAGACATCCAGGTGAGCTTTAGACCCGTCTCAGACATCCAGGTGAGCTTTAGACCCGTCTCAGACATCCAGGTGAGATTTAGACACGTCTCAGACATCCAGGTGAGATTTAGACACGTCTCAGACATTCGAGTGAGATTTAGACATTTTGCAGACTTTCAGGTAAGACACGTTTCAGACATTGAAGTGAGATTTAGACACTTTCTCAGACATCCAAGAGAGATTTAGACACGTCTCAGATATCCAGGTGAGCTTTAGACACGTCTCAGACATCCAGGTGAGCTTTAGACACGTCTCAAACATCCAGGTGAGATTTAGACACGTCTCAGACATCCAGGTGAGCTTTAGACCCGTCTCAGACATCCAGGTGAGATTTAGACACGTCTCAGACATCCAGGTGAGATTTAGACACGTCTCAGACATCCAGGTGAGCTTTAGACACGTCTCAGACATCCAGGTGAGCTTTAGACACGTCTCAGACATCCAGGTGAGATTTAGACACGTCTCAGACATCCAGGTGAGATTTAGACACGTCTCAGACATCCAGGTGAGCTTTAGACACGTCTCAGACATCCAGGTGAGCTTTAGACACGTCTCAGACATCCAGGTGAGATTTAGACCCGTCTCAGACATCCAGGTGAGCTTTAGACACGTCTCAGACATCCAGGTGAGCTTTAGACTCGTCTCAGACATCCAAGAGAGATTTAGACACGTCTCAGACATCCAGGTGAGCTTTAGACACGTCTCAGACATCCAGGTGAGATTTAGACCCGTCTCAGACATCCAGGTGAGCTTTAGACACGTCTCAGACATCCAGGTGAGCTTTAGACTCGTCTCAGACATCCAAGAGAGATTTAGACACGTCTCAGACATCCAGGTGAGCTTTAGACACGTCTCAGACATCCAGGTGAGCTTTAGACCCGTCTCAGACATCCAGGTGAGATTTAGACACGTCTCAGACATCCAGGTGAGCTTTAGACACGTCTCAGACATCCAGGTGAGCTTTAGACCCGTCTCAGACATCCAGGTGAGATTTAGATACGTCTCAGACATCCAGGTGAGATTTAGACACGTCTCAAACATCCAGGTGAGCTTTAGACACGTCTCAGACATCCAGGTGAGATATAGAAACGTCTCAGACATCCAGGTGAGATTTAGAAATTTTGCAGACTTTCAGGTAAGACACGTCTCAGACATGCAGGTGAGATTTAGACACTTTCTCAGACATATTTTAAGATATACCTTAGCAGTTTTAGTTGATTTAGCGACCACGCCATACTAAACAGAGGGCAGTGAACCATGATGTAAACATATCAGGTAACACATGGCCTTTCAGTTCCTGGTTTCTGCTTTCGCAGGGATACAAAAGACTGGTTATAACGTAAACATAACTCAGTGGAAAAAAAACAGGCATTGAAAATAGCTGTAAATTCCCCTGAGTCAGAGTATAGAGGGGGCCTTTTCTTCAAAAGACATTCGAGTTCACAGCTCTCTGTGTGTGCGTGCGTGTTTGCGTGCGTGCGTGAGTGCGTGCGTGTGTGTTTGTGATTTAACACGAGAACCCAAGAAGCTTTGGATGAATGGTCATGAAACTTGGTTTTTAGGTAGATCTAATGATGAGACCTCGAAATGGTTAGGTTTTGGGCCCCCTGGCGGCTTGTTACCTTCGCCAAGAAGGTTATGTTTTCGGTCAGCGTTTGTGTGTGTGTGTGTGTGTGTGTTTGTGTATGTGTGGTTTAGCAAGATAACTCTAGAAGCAGTGAATGGATTGGAATGAAACTTGGTAGGTGGGTAGGTCTTCATGAGACCTAGAAATGATTAGATTTTGCCCCCTGGCGGCTTTCCTAGGTACTGCAGCAGAACTTTCGGTTTTGATATCTCGTGATCTGGACATGCTAGGGTCACACATTTTGGATGGCAAATAGCAGCGGAACTTCCGGCTTTGATATCTCGTGACCTGGACATGCTAGATAGATTTGAATGGTAGATAGCTCTTTTACTCGAGAATAAGTCACATGAGTTTGGTTTACTAAACAGATCTTGATAGTTCTAGACCTGTTGTTGGTTGTAAGTACTAGTAACTTTCCTTGGAGCTGCAATGACCCTTTTCTGCGTCTACATTGTAAAACTCAGCAACTAATGGAAAGTCAGTAATGCATGTTTAGACACACCATAACAATACAATCATGTAGTTGACCGTGGCATTGTTGAGGGGCAGTACAAATGTGCACTGAGTCATACAAATACCCCCCCCCCCAAATAACACAACTGTTCTGAAATACAATATTTCTGCTTTAAAAAAAGGTTATTCATCAGGATAAAAGGAGAAAATGTCTGACACCCACATCACCAGCCTAGTAAAGAGGCTACAGGACTTGGAGCTGTGCCTAAAGAGCCAACATGGGCAAGAAGTCGGGTATGAACGGGCTTTGAGAGAAGCCATTTTTGAAAATGATGGCTTTACAGAGGTAGAAGTCTTGAAAAGTCTTGGAGACCTGCATCTTGAGAAAGCCAAGCTCAGTAAAGATCCAGCAGAGTTTGACAAAACTGGTGGCCTGTATGCTGCTGCCCTAATGCGATGCACAGATCCAGACATGGGAGAAACACTGGAACATCGTATTAGCTACATGGCGAAAATCTCCAGACAACTGCTGCAGGGGTACTGTCCACATTTCCTGTGGTTGTCACCAAACTACTGGGGTACTGCTGACAGTAATGTCTTAAGGGTGGCAGAGATTTGTGACAAACTGGACAGGGGTGTCAGAAATTCCTTAGAAAAGACTTACACAGAAGCATTAGTGATGGCAATTGAGAACAGTGACATGTTTTTGGAGCTTGAGGTTCTAAAATCCCTCGGAGATTTCAACCTCGAGAAAGGCAAGATAACCTCTGATGTATCCCAGTTCTCCAAGGCAGCTGCGATGTACAAGAAGGCCCTGCAGCTGACAACATGTGTGGATAATGAGATAAGACTGACTCTGATGCATCGCATTAGATACATGGGCTTGGTCAGGGAAACAGTGGAAAAGGTCAGTTAACTTGGTTGTTTTTCTTTATGTGTACTATTAAGTGCAGTAGTGGTCGTTTTGTGACGTGTAAAATGCTAAAGCCTAACATATCATGCTACTTCACCATGTGTACAATTATTTACATTAGATATCACTGTATGATAAAGCACAATATACATGTACACACGGACATACATGATACAGACATTATAAGAAATACAAACACATAAACACATGGACATGGACACACGTATACATGTATGCACTCATCACACACACACACACACACACACATGCATGCATATGAAGACATATGTATACAAGTATGTAGATGTCAACAAATGTGTCTTGAATTATGCAGAAACCATCACTAAAGAAAACACGACCAAGGAAACCAAGCCCAAACAAGGGACACCAGTCCAGGTACATGACAAGAACTGGCATCACCCAAGGACAACATTCCTATCCAGACATAGACAGAACAAGGTAGGGGAAATTTACTAAGAACAGTTAATATGAAGGTAACTTTTTAAACTAGTTATCAATTCTGCAGATAACATAATAACTTTAACATGACAGTTCAACACAATATAACACAATTTTAATCAATTACTTACGTCACGTATCAGTAAAGTCTCGTGTGAATAAGGTCACGTGTTTGTAAACCATAACTCTCGCGAGATCACGTTGTGAAGTGATTGGTCATTAATTATCCTGATAAAGGCGACAGTGGTCGCTGAAAATTTGATCTCTAGATCTGTTAACCGTGTGTTGGAATAAAGTTAAACGTTTTACTATGATTACTACCAACACAGATGAACTTTCATGATAATCACAATTTTGTTGTTTTGCAGTAAAGCCAAAGAACCTGGAATGACCAGTGCTGCAGCTGAAACTGTTGTAGACGAAAGCTTTGCGGACACTCAGTGAGTAATACGGTACATAGTGTAGATAACTGGTTTGCTTTTCATTACTGGCCGGATATTTACCATTGATTGACTTAAAATGTTCATGTGCTCAATGGATGACGCCACTAGACTCCCAACAAAAATTGATCTTTTGTTTGAAGGCAGTACAAAGACCACATCAAAAAAGGTGAATCCACCCTTGCCAAGGCAGACCTGGACTCAGCAGAGCAGCATTTTGCAGCTGCACTTAAGACAGTACACGTGAGAGGTAAGGAAAAACCTTAAAAGTTATAAGCATAAAATTAAAACTGAGGACAAACAGTCAGTTTACAGTGACGCCAGAACGGCCATGATTGAAATAATGCAAAGAAAAGAGAATCATAGATCATTATATGCCCTTTCATGTTTTTGCCCTTTCATGTAATAAATAAAAAGAGCACAAGTCTGCTTACATTTAATTGGGCTGATAACTCAATATACCCAAACTACATTTTGATTATGCGAAGTAGATTTTGGAGCTTAAAAATGTCAAGTGCGAAAACCTGAGATATGGAATCCACAACATGAAGTTGTTTCCCACAAGATCCAACAGCCCAGCAGTATCAGAGAGAGGTGGAGCCACTATGCAAGTTGGGGGATGTCTACAGTAAGCGAGGTCAGCAGACAGGGGACGGGGGAGACTTTGTCAAAGCAGCAGCACTCTACAATGCTGCAATAGCCAGGTCACAGGATCAAGTCCTCAATGGTAAAATAGCAATAGCGATGAAAGAAGTGATGAAGTTGTTTCTTAAATGTATCGTAGATATTCACTGTGAAGCTCAGGATAACACAGAAAAGCACAAGAAACAGCTGAAGGAGATGCGGGACCAGATCAAGCTGGAGATGGAAACCATTGACCAGCAACTGGATCCCTATGTACATGATGAGGACGACCCATGTGTCAAAGAGATAGAGGCAAAACGAGCTCAGGCTGTTAGGCAGTTGTTTGATAACATTGCACAACAAAGGAAGGAGTTCATCAGTCTGCTTGTAGAAGAGTGTATTGGGTTAATGGGCCCCCCTCCCTGTAAGTATACACTGTTAGGTTTGGGTTCACAGGCCACAGGACTGGTAACTCCATACTCAGACCTGGAGTTTTCCATCTTGGTAGAAGAGGAAATTGAAGAATATCTTGTGTATTTCCGCAACCTAACCCACTATCTACACCTCAAGGTGGTTAATCTGGGAGAAACCATTGTCCCAGCACTTGGAATAAAATCTCTCAATAACTTCTACTCTGAGGATCCCATTGACGACGACTGGTACTATGACTCAGTTACACCGCGTGGGTTTGCATTTGATGGCTCCATGCCAAAGGCAAGCAAGACTCCACTGGGCAGGCAGGGAACTGAGAACAAACCACCCAGTGAACTCATCTGCACCCCTGAAAACATGGCTTTAAAACTACAACAGGATGTCACACTATATTTGAAGGAAGGATATCACCTTTCAACTATCTTGAGAAACCCATGCCTGATAGCAGGGGACCAGGATTTGATCGGCACATACATGGCCATCACTGAGAAGATACTACAAGCTGAAGGGGGTAAAATGATTCAAGAACTGGCACAAGAGATACGCAAGGAAAACATGGAAAGGATCAGCAACAAGGAAACAATAACAGCAAGGCTGATTGATGTTAAGAAAGGACTCTATCGCTTTCCAGCTTTAACAGTGGACTGTTTGGCGCTGTCTTCGGGCATCATACCTACCACAGTTTGGAAGACAATAGAAGATATGGGAAAACAAGAAGTGATCAGTCCCAACAACGCACACCACCTGACAGTGATCACCAGCATCTCAGCAGAACTCAGGCTTAGAACATACATCGCAAATGGTGGACAGAAGGAAAGCCTATCAGCTTTGGCCTCAATGGAAACAATGCACGGACAGAAATCATCCCTACAGACCAGCAATACAGATGCATTAGTACCAGTTTTCCATGTACCAAATGACCAACAGCTTTTCAGGTACTATTATACAGCAGTTCCTCTGAAAAGTGCTCTACAGGAATGGTCTGAGAAGAAGTCTGCTCTTAACTCATTCTCTGATTTCTATGACAATTCCCCGAGGGTACAAGGAAAGATGTATGATGAGTTATGCAAGTATGAACAGGCCATCAGCTGCTACCATGAGGCCCTAAAGAAAGATGATGGCAGTGACACTGATGAGAAAGCTGAGCTGCTAGAAATTATTGGAATTGTCTATCGCAAGGTGGGTGAGTACAGTAATGGAGCCAGTTATCTTGAACAAGGATTGCAAAAGTGGATAAGTATATATGGTCAGGGTACAGCACATCCTGGAACTGCCACCTCACTCCTCAACCTTGGGACAGCCTGGAGTGACCTGGGTGATCACAGAAAAGCAATCAGATACAATGAAGAGGCACTGCAGATGTTTAGGACTCTCTATGGTGAGAACAAAGCACATTCTGGTATGGCTGACTCACTCAACAACCTGGGGGGAGCTTGGTGCCATCTTGGTGATTACAAGAAAGCAATCAGCTACTTTGAACCTGCACTAAAGATGCACACGAGTATATATGGTGAGGGTACAGCACATTCTGACACTGCCATCTTACTCAACAACCTGGGAACAGCCTGGAGTTCACTGTGCGATTACAGAAAAGCAGCCAGCTCTTATGAAAAGGCACTGAAGATGAACAGGAGTATCTATGGCCAGAATACAGCGCATCCTGACATTGCGTACTTACTCAACAGCCTTGGGACAGCCTGGCACCACCTGGGTGATTACAGGAAAGCAATCAGCTACCAAGAACAGGCACTGCAGATGTATAGGAGTATCTATGGTCAGAACAAAAGACATCCTGACATTGCCAACTCACTCAACAACCTTGGCTCAGCCTGGGAGAATCTATGTGATTACGAGAAAGCAATCAGCAATAATGAACAGGCACTACAGATGTACAGGAGTATCTATGGTGAGGGTACAGCGCACCCTGGTATTGCCACCTCACTCAACAACCTGGGCTCAGCCTGGATTGGCCTGGGTGATTACAGAAAAGCAGTCAGCTACCATGAACAGGCACTGCAGATGCTCAAAGATGTCCATGACCGGGGTTTACCGCATCCTGACATTGCTACCCTACTCGGCAACTTGGGGTTAGCCTGGAGGAACCTGGGTGATACAAGGAAAGCAATTGGCTACTACGAACAGGCACTGGAGATGGAAACGAGTATTTACGGTCAGGGCACAGCACACGCTGGCATTGCCGGCTCACTCAATAACCTGGGTGGAGCCTGGCTTAGCCTGGGTGATTACAGAAAAGCAATAAGATACTTTGACCAGGCGCTGCAGATGCACAGGAGTATCTATGGCCAGAATACAGCACATTCTGATACTGTCACCTTACTCAACAACCTGGGGTCAGCCTGGTACGTTCTTGGTGATCGCAAGAGAGCCCTCAGTCTCTGCCAAGAAGCCTTGGCTATGGCAAAGCAGGTTTTCTCTCAGGATGAACATCACCCAATGATAGAAGCCACTAAAGAGAACATTGCTTTGATGATGAAACTTTGAGAATGTATTCAAATTTCCATTAGTCTTGATGGAATTCGCATAATAATAGAAGCATGATACAACAGTCAATATACAAAACAATACAATGATGTCAAACACACAATACAAATACTGCATGGTGCCAACAATGCCCCACAATATAATCACAACAACACAATTAATTCAAAACAATCCGATTGCTCAAGTGCTAGTAGTACTGCTAGAATAGTTCGAAGAGACCGCTTTTGATGATCTGCCTAGTAATTGCATATGATTTTCAGACGAAACTAAATCAGAGTCACAGAGATTTGGTACCGGGTGCCAGGCCTGATAGCACGGGAAGGTCTTTTTAGGAATTTTGGGGGATTCAGGGCCCCCAAATGCACGGACAAGCAGACTGTATAACTCCATCCTCCATTACACCATCCAACTGTACAATAGGCAAATGTGATTTGTTTAGATTTGTCTACCCGTATGTACTTGCACTGTATTTTTTGAAATCGTGAGATTAAAGTCAACGCAATTTAGGAGTGCTACATGTATATACTTAAGCCAAGTTGATTGATGTGAATACATTTAAGTTTGAGGTTTGATTTAGACTACGTCAGAAACATGACAACTGTTTAGGCCCAAGCATATCTGAACGAAAGAATGAAGAGAACACTGCTTTTTATGACCTTAAACAGTTATACACTTATCTACGTTAATTTTAAGAAATAATACAACAACGTCTTACTTGTCAAGCTTTTATTATCTAGTTGTGATAAAGTTTGGTTAATAAAGATCATACATGTACATGTACTAAGGAACACTATTTTTCTAACTCTATATTATAGATAAAGCTCATGTTCACAGCTGACATCTTAGTATTGCATAACCCCTAAATGATAAACATAACAATGAAGAAAAACTTCATTACCATTCATTACCATGTTTACTCCTTCACGTTCCATTTATTTGGGTGCATCCACAAGTACCACCATGACAATTCGCCACACGTGTTAGCGAGGACCTCTAGCAATCCACGTTATTATTGCAGGTGCTTGAGCTAATTTTTCGTGCAATAATCTCGCAGACTGCTAGAAGTCGCTTTTGATCCATGGCGCAGAGAGTCATAAATATATGTATCCTTGATGCTGATTGGTTCTCGTTATCGTGCGTTTTGCGGCGTGATTGAGCCATTGGTCCTGATTGGTTAGAAACAAGGGTGACGTGAGGCTTTATGCCCAAATATGGGTAACCGATTCAAACTGTAAAGTCGCTCTACTTTTCAAGTAAACAACCGAAGTTCTGAAGGATTTCCCAACGAACAGGGGTGTTTCAGACAATTATTTCTCTCTACATAAGCACACGGGTTGTAAGAACTGCCTTTACAGAGAAAATGAGCCGACGTATGTGATTTATGAGAGTACTGGAGGCGAAAAATGCCGGCTATATTATTACAAACAGGGGAGGGGGGTAGCCATTGCTTAGGGATGGCTTTCAGCACCAAGGACAGGGATAGCTTCAGTTTCAACATGGCCTTTTCTCCATTACAACAAACAAAATATAACCACAGTGACAGAAATATACAAAGCAAATAATGACATTAACACACTCAAATTGCATTTCAGTTTAGAGATGCCCCCTGATAGAGGCGTATGCTATGGCAATAATCCCCAAGCAGCTACGATTTCACCTCCCACCATCTGCTTGGTTTCCATTCATATGGTAATGAGATCGACACGGAAAACTTCACTCCTGCAAACGATGTGACCACTTCTGCAAGCGATCAGCTGATCGCAAAATCACGTTTTGACGTATAACTCGGGAATGAAGCAACTTTGGGAGAAGACATTAAGTAGTAATGGAGTAGAGACTCCAAGGAGTATATACTGAAAACAAGGCGGTCGTTGAATGTCGAAAGTTTCATTTTTCTAAAAGTAAAAAAGCGGAAATTCATCCCCTATCACACCCCCGTTTTGGAGCCCCCGTTCGGAAAGGGCCCGTATCTCGCTAACGAAGCCTCGCTCATCCCCAGATTTGGCCATTTCGCGAGTTGGGAAACGCGATGGGCTCTTATGGGGTTTTTACTTCAAGACTTTTCTGCACTTGTTCTTGACATTAAAGCTCACCCCAGTTACCTAAATATCACGAATCTATCAGGAAAGAACCGTTTCAGTGTTGCTTCTATTAATTTTGAGACAAACATTTCTGGAACGACTTTTACGAGCAGTTGAATAGGGAGCTTTTTTGTCAGTATTTCTGCCATTTTAGTTTTGCACGAAAAGCCCCAAACCTGTAAAAACGTACTGTTCATTTGAAACCAAACTCTCATACCTTCTCCACACCAATCGAAACAGTTTCTTACTCAGTTATAATATTTTCCATTGCGTATTATACTTTTATAGATCAACTTTCTCGGTTCAGTGTGTAACGTTATTGTTAGTCGTCATTACTAGTGTATGTATATTACTTTGAATTAAAACCAAACAATAAAATAACACAATAGAAACACAATATATTCCTTGTCTATTTTAAAGTTTACCTCTACAAACACAACAAGAATTCTGAGATCTCATACCTCCATGAAATATATGAATTTTTGTAAATGTTTTTACACAGTATATTACAGTACAGAACAAAATAACACAGGCTTTTGTTTTCAAACACACAGCAGCACCTTTGGCCTGAAATATGTAGGTCAGCCTATTCCAGAGGGAACCTCATTAATCAAACCTGAAGTTATGTTGACTACAAATGTGCGGAAACACACATACATACACACACACAGACACTCCAAAAACAATACCTCCATTTTCATGGAGGTAATAACAACACCATACATGACTTGATTTTGTATCATCCTTGTATTTCCACATCTTTACATAGTTGTACAGGAATTCTCTCTTGCACACATATAGCAGGATACTGCTAAACTTCAGACAGGTTACATAAAGCCCTGCCAAATTACACTATGAAGAATTGCACATATATATAGTCAAAAGTAGATTAATTAGCCTCAATAAATATAACAACTCCACCACTTGACCATCCCCGTACCATGAAATAGACTAGTCCGGAAATATAATTATAACAGAGGACTATACCATGATTCGAAACTATGGGGTAATTGACCACATTAAATTTCAGTAATCGCAATGTCCTATATATAAATTAAATGTAGCACATTATGTAGCATAGAATCAATAATTGTGAAATAAAATGTACAGTTGAAGTAAACATTATGTCTTTCAAGCATTTTCTTTCAGGTTTGAATACTTGACATATTCCTAGAAGACCCTTCTCTCTTCGATTGTCACTATGCCCTTTTTTTAATGCAAAATTTTCTTTAAAAAAGGCAAAAGAAACAGAAAACTTACAATATCAAGTTGTCTGTTAATAAATGTTTTGGAAGCACATTGAAAATGGCAGCAGTAGTTGAAAATATTTGAACATTTAACCCTATCCAAACTGTTGAGCCTTGAATGCTTTGCAGCAATCTGTGTAGGAGTTGGTATACAAAAAGTAAACATCAAAAAGTGACCAAAAAAAAACTCCAAAAGAAAGTTCTTGGAAGAACTCAAATCTTTGAAAAACAACAACAAATAAACAAACAACAATATCTACAGATAGCCAGCCACTGTGTGCATTTGCCTATGGATACCTGTTTTGAAGTTTTTTCTTCACTTGGAAAAACTGATTTTTAACCTTTAGCATACTGAAGTAGCCGTCTGGCTACCGATTTTCTATGGTTACTGGACTATGCAGCAGGTTAAAAATTTTAGGACTTTTGCAAGGCCTAAAAGAAAAAAAAAATTTGTGTGCAGGTCTCATACATGTATCATGCCTGCCTTTTTCCTCAGCTTTCAGAGTAGTTTCTGCCATCTCAAACCCACAACCGGGATTCGAACCATGGACCAAAAGTATCGACAGTGATTAGCCTATCAGTCTAAAACACTGTGTTTACATATTCTCATTCTCACCACAAACTTCAGGATTCTCTATATCCGCCTACGGAAGTTTACAACCACATTCTATCATTTCAACTGGCTTGTAGATTTTTCGGACGCTATACATTACCCAAAGAAAGCTTTTCCCATACTTTGAACTATTCTTCATATACAGTTTTAACATTATAACATAACCTATACAGGGAGGTTGTAGCTTGTATCATATATTCACATATACAACTAAGAAGTACATGTATGTAGTTTATCCTGTACATATGCATGTACATCTCAAGACAGCTATAGAATATTGTTAGACAGTGCATTTTAGGCCCCTTCAAATGCATAGACCATATCTAGCGGTAAACCTAAAACCATCTGAGTATCTATTTTTTAGGATCTATGGCAAAGAAAACAAATTGGAACAACTATAACCACTAGAGATCTGATGCATATGAAGAGTAACATAACTCATTAATAGCTAAACCACTTACCACAGTTAACATCTCATTGGTCTACCAAGTGACCAATGATGCCATGTCACAGAACAGCAAAACTATGCTAACCAATCACAATGCTCACCTGAAGAAAGGGCCAAGCTGATTGGTTCATGCATGTGCTATGCAAATTACAATGATTTATACATGATCTAGATTGCACTTTCCACACTCTACAAGCCCATACTTTAAACAGCTAACCTTTCTTCTAACCTTTTGCAATATTTAAAACAAAAAAAAACACTTCAAATTTGGAAAGACACTGAAAATTTAGAAAATAACTTAGTCTACTAAACGTTACAGTTACTGCAACTATGACACTGTAAGTCAGGAAGCATGGCTTTTTAAATAACATGTAAATGCAAATGTAAATTCAGCAAATTAAAGTAATTGAGAATAATTTGATTTTCGAAATTTTCAGTGTTTTTGGACATTTCAAGTGATAATGTCTTAAAGAAAATAGCCTCCAGTTTAATTCAGGACTTCCAGTTTAATTCCAGAATAATTCCCATATCTTACAGCAACCTTACATGTAGATGGGCTAATATCGTAAAGTATAAGTAAAAATAATGTAAGAAATGTGGCATCTGTGTGGTGTTGTGGATAGAGCGTCCGACTGTCAAGCAAGGAGACCAAGGTTAAATCCCCAGGGTTGGACCCAGACATGTCCGGACATGCACCCAGACGTTGTGCCCTTGGGAAAGGCACTTAACACGCATTTCCCCCCTCAGTTAGAGGGTTCCTGGGCCCTACTAGGGTTTGGGTTGGCGTTATATAGGAAGAGCATCTAGCCGTAAAAATCTTGCTTAAAAAAAAAAGACTTGTACCTGGTGCAAGCACGTCTAACCCCCGGTTGGGGAAAAATGATGTTAAATTCGGTTAAAAAAAAAATACATATAATTTAAGTAGCAGCCATTGGGTATCAACCCAATTCTGTAGAATTCTGCACAGAATTCTGGCTCCAATTCCTACAATTCTGGCTCCAGTTCCCAGAATTCTGCAGAATTGGGTTAATCCTCAAGGGTGATGGGTGCTACATATTTCTTACCTATAATTTACGATATTAGCCTATCTAGACGTAATGCTGCTGCAAGATATGGGAATTAGTCCAGAATTAAACTGGAAGTCCGGAATAAAACTTGAGGCTGTTAAATTTTCTGTGGTCACTTTCTGGTCTGTTCTTGCACGGTTATTCTGACTATGGGAGTGAAGATCCACTTGTGTTCCTGTGATCTGACTCTGGATGCACACGTGGCGCGGATGTCCAGGCTGAAGTCACCGCAGCAGAAAAACACAAACGTGCAGGTGTGCTGGACACTATCACCTGGCTCCATCTGGGGACAATCAATCAATCAACCAATCAGTCAATCAATCAATCAATCAATCAATCAATCAGTCAGTCAGTCAGTCAGTCAGTCAGTCAGTCAGTCGTCAGTCAATCAATCAATCAATCAATCAATCAATCAATCAGTCAGTCAATCAACCAATAAATCAGTCAGTCTGTCAGTCGAGCAATCAATCAATCAATCAATCAATCAATCAATCAATGAGCCAGTCAGTCAATCAATCAACCAATAAATCAGTCAGTCAGTCTGCCAGTTGATCAATCAATCAATCAATCGATCAATGAGCCAGTCAGTCAATCAATCAACCAATAAATCAACCAGTCAGTCAGTCTGTCAGTGAGTCAGTCAATCAGTCAGTCAATCAATCAATCAATGAGTCAGTCAGTCAATCAACCAATAAATCAGTCAGTCAGTCTGTCAGTCGATCAATCGATCAATCAACCAATCGATCGATCGATTGATCAATCCATCAATCAATCAATCATTGGCCTAGTGCTCTAAAATTTACATCAGAAAGATTTGTACCTTTTCAATCTCCCTCTTCTGACATCCGACGCAGGCGATTTTTTCGCTGACGTTGTTTAGGACGGTCCCGTTCCACAGGTCCTGGTACGGTTGAACGACCAGCGCGCTCCCTTCCACCGCCTCCGAGGACGCGTTAGTCACCGAGACTTTCACTGACATGGGCCTTCCCATCATGCATTGCACTGGCTCCTCTGTATCGCAGGGTTTGTCATCTATTCTAACATCTAGAAAAGATTAAAAAATGCTGTTAAAAGTATTGATTGATTTTGATTTGATTTATTGAAATTGCAACAGTGCAATACACGCGGAGCAGAGGCAGCTGTTGCTGGTGTTGTGTCCTACACATAGAAACAAATACTGGACAGACAATACTCATTTTCACTTGAGTCTAGTGGGGAAAGTCGTGCAAAGTGCCTTTCCCAAGGGCACAAGATTGGTGGCATGTCAGGACTCGAACCCGGGACCTCTTGATTCCGAGTCACGCACGCTGCCATTGCGCCCCAAGACCCCAAAAGTAAAAGTCATCCAGCTGAAATACTTACACAAAGTTATGATACATCTATAATAGTTTGCTAGAAATACATACATGTGATGGACTCAAATATTAGCAGCATCTGATGCAATGTTGGCTGGCAAAATAAAAAAAAATATATTATAGATGAAATCTTTCTGATATTGACCTTGACTATCACATTTTGTTATCATCTTAAACTTGGAGCGTTTGAGATAGGCCCAAAACAAGCTACGTGAGGAGTCCCTTAATTATTTGGTACCACCAATAAATAGCTAGAACCAGTCTACGATATGAAACAAGCAACAGTTTTCCATCATTAACCACAATTGGATGAGCCGACAAGTGTGAACACATCGGGATCCAATCACGATTGCAGGCAATCCTAATTCAATTGCGATTGGATCCCAGATGTGGATTTAAAGTGAACAGGGTGTAGTACACCTACATGAGGCCACACCAATTTAATTTCTTGGTTAACAGATTTTTCTAGAAAAATAATGCAGGGGGCGGGCGAAAAAAATAAAAGCAGGTCTAGGCATCCTCTTATGGTCCAAAATGGTACGATAGGAGCCACGAAGTCAACAAACCAGGCTGGTTCAAAATTTAAACAATGAATTTTGAACTTTTAATGATACCACTGCATTGAAAGATGGAATAACTGTAACAACTAGGAAGAAAAGGCCTGTTCAGGGCAAAATATGAGCATTTTGCAGTTAATTCTGAATTTTTTTTTTTGCAAATCAGAAAAAAATGAGGCGAGCGAATTCGTTAACCAAGAAATTGAATTGGTGTGGCCTGAGGGGGTCTCTTTACTTACCCCACTGTATGGGAGAAATGCTAATGAGGTCGATGGCTTCAGGTGTCATGGGGATGCCTTCTAGGTTTACAACTCCGCATGTACCACTGGACGGGTGGGGAGGGGGGTCAAGGCACATACAGCAACAACATCCAAAACTAGAAAGGCACCGGTGGCTATTTTGAACCCTGCACACACAAACACACCTAAAACAATACCTCCTTACAAGGAGGTAACAATATACAAAACTAGAAAGGTAACATTTGCAAAGCAAACGCATAATGTTAACCATCGCATATGGTCTGCTCTGTTAATTCTTACTCAAACACATTCATATATATGGGGACAGCAGGGTAGAAATTTGACCAATTCACAACTTTCTCCAGAGTAACTCATTGCACTTTTCCAATCAAGCAATTAGTTTCTGCTAGAGGTTTAGTTATTTTTTTTGATTTAGTAACAAAACCTTCATTTCAGCACTAAGGACAGGTACAATGTAAACTACATAACCATTGGCTCTGAAGTTTAATGTAATTCAATGACTGCAAAAATATACATCCTTTCCCATATAATGCCCAGAAAAACACTTTTTTTGCATTTTTAGCAACATTTCACTTTTGAGATTAGAACCAGGGACCTTTGGTGCAAGAGAAACAGGAAGGATATCATTTTCCATATAATGCCCACAAACACACTTTTCAGGCATTTTCAGGCAATTTTAACAACATTTCACTTTTGGGATTAGAACCAGGGACCTTTTGGTGCAAGGGAAACATAAAGGGATATCCTTTTTCATATAATGCCCAGAAACACACTTTTGGGGATTTCTACTAACATTTCACTTTTGAGATTAGAACCAGGGACCTCTGGTGCAAGGGAAACAAACAGAAAGGATATCATTTTCCATCTGATGTCCACCAGAGTGGCGAGTTGTTGGCTGTACTGCTGACTCCTGGCATCAGCAGGACTGATGATGGAGATGGGAGCATCACTGCTGCACGGTTCAGGCAGGGAAAATCTCTCCACACGGACGGCAATTCTGAAACAAGATACATTGGTGAAGCACGTCAGCAGAACGCATTGCACCTGCGCGAAACCCGTAATGTATTGTACATAGCACTTCGGCAGAACATCTCACATAAGGTTGTATTCGCGCATATAAGGTTAACATCCCGTCTGTAGTTTTCAAACGTTGTGTAGAAAAAGATATCCTTTGCAACAGGCAAAATTCTGATGCAACGTTGACCAAAAGTCCACCGAAAATCGTGAACATACAGGGTTCTGCGCAGGCGCAGTACGTTCTGCCGACGTGCTCATCGGTGAAGGTTAGACATCCAGGTGATAAGATAGGCCAAAAAGCAGTTACTCAAGCAACTGGATATGATTTTGAAAATGGTCAGATGTTTCAGGTAGCATCCACTACCTTTCGTCAGTGACACTGGAGAGTTGGCAGAAAAGCAGGTCTATATGTGCCAACGATTGATTGATAACTTTCGTTTCCTTTTGGACTTTCAAAAAAAATTTGTCTTCATTTATTTGCATATCAATCAATAGCTCAGTTGACAGAGGGTCACTGAAACTTCGGCTGAATAAAACACTTGGTTGCATAAAAAAGATTATATCATACCCGGGCAGCGATAACGTTCGATAACGGGTTCCGGACCGGGCCGTACTTTACGTTCCGGGCTCCATGGCTTTCATAGAACGATTCGAACGCGTTTTGCACTAACCGCGTGCGCCGCTGTCAAAATTCAAATACCGAATCCGAACGTTGGAACTGATGTCGTTGCATCTGAGGGTTTAGGGGCACCAACTTTTGGCTCAGCTTGCATTGAAAGGCGCGTTTTCTTTGGTGGGTATGACATAAATAAAATACAACACGGTGTATTCCGCATCGCCCTCGGTCCCGGCCGTCCCGCGAGTCGGATCACCCTCCGGCCGTTGGGCGATCCGACCCGCGGTCGGGCCAATACCTCAGGCGATACGGAATACCCCGTGTTGTATTCTATATGTATTTCATTCTGTAATGTGACTATTTGTGGCATATTTGTGTTTACTGCGTACCTCTTCAGTTGTTTACTCTCGATGATGAGGTCATCATTGTCGGGGTAACTGATGACGACCTCGTGTTTGGTGACATTTTGAAGGTCAAGGGTCAAATGGCAATGTCTGGGACTAGGGGAAAAAATCAAGAAGTCATAAATTAGTTAATGAGTAAGAAAAATGAAACTTTCATCATCTATGTACTATAGAATTAAAGTTACAAAGTAATCTGTTAAAAGTACCTCTTACATTATATGTACCAGTTTGTCTAATAAATTGCTAAGAATGCTAAAAAAAAACCCCAAACCATTTTTATCTACATTGTATAGTCATGTATATTGGTCAATCAGTAACACAAATTTCTGGAATAATACAATAACACAACACCATACAAGTTGGTTATACATGTATATTAAACCTAATGACATATCATACTTCTTATAACCTTTGCATAGCGATGCTTAGCTATCTATTGTTAGTTCAAAAAGTTTTCTACTGTTCAAGTAAAAAGATAAAAACTAGAAAGATAACATTTGCAAAGCAGTTGCAGGAGTCTAAATCCTTCCTGCTATAAAATTGCAACATGATGTAACCCAACACTAGTTACCATGGTGACAGATGTCTGGTTCGGGTCATTGACCTTATTTGTTTGGAGAAGAGGAAGAAAAAACCAAGCAAAAACAATTATAGGTTTTCCTTCTGTGAAGGTTAACACACATAATAATAAGAAGAGAAAGGTGCAAGTCTCGGACACAAATTGGTTACCTAGGTGCAGGTAGTATGTTGACTTTAGACACGAGAAGTGACTGTAGTACGTCCACATGTAGTATGATGGAGGCTTGTCTGTGGTAACCCTCCTCAAAACCCTGTCCTCCTGAATATGTCAGCTTCAGAACTGCATCCACTGGCTGCAAGTAGACATCAGAGGTGGTACAACTAGTAGTCATTCACAAGCAAGTCGGCAGAACGTACTGCGCCTTTGCGAAACCCCGAATTTTCACAGTTTTAATTGTTTTTTTAGTCAACGTTGCATCAGAATGTTGCCTGTGTCTAAGCATTTGTTCCTCTATTTAGGTTTAATTTTTCTTCAATGGAAGGCTTTAGTATAACGAAACCTTCATTTCAGCACTAAGGACAGGTACAATGTAAACTACATAACCATTGGCTCTGAAGCTTACTGTAATTCACAATTTTTCTCACGGTACTTTTATGTTCATCCTTTTTGTGGTTGCAGACGATATCTTTTCTGACACAACATTTGGAAACTACAGATGGGATGTCAACCTTATACACGCGAATACGACCTTATGTGAGATGTTCTGCCGAAGTGCTATGTACAACACTTAACGGGTTTTGTGCAGGTGCAGTACGTTCGGTCCACATGCTTCATTCAACAACCTTGGCTATCAGCTGACATTCCAGGTCATGGGGTCAATGGAAGAGGCTACTAATTCACGGGGAGGCATTGTTTTTACTCTGTCATTTTATGTTTATTTCAGTTTCACAATAAGTACAATGAAACAAATATAGTGTGGCGTCGGTGGCGCAGCGGTTAGAGTATTGGACTGGGAACCGAGAGGTCCCGAGTTCGATACTCACCGTGGCCCGACGTTGTGCCCTTGGGAAAGGCACTTTACACGACTTCCCCACCTATACGGTGGAGTGACGCCCACCGAGCCTCTTAGGCTAATCTGTCTGTCTGGGTGCCAAAAACACCTTACGGATTTGGTGCGCCGATGTGACAACATCTCATATTGGCCACTGAGAGCCTTAAATTCTTTCTTCTTCTAAACAAATATAACACGAAAAACTTCTATTACTTGTAGGTATGTGATCTTTGAACTCTTGCTACTGGCTACTTCTGCCAATGCTAGTGACTTTTTCAGGGTCCTGAATGTAAAGTTGTGAGTTTTACCTGTGCTTTTTCCTCCTCGGGTTGTTGTGCCTCTATGGGTGGTACAGTCATGGCTGCTGTTCTCATAGATCTGGGTCTGGTCTGGGGGGACTTCTTGGGTGAACTGTGTCTACTACTGGGTTCTAATGGAAAAACATGACAAAGAAAACCATATATTTCATCCATACCATGGTATGGAGTGAAATATAAAAACATGAAATAGACGTTCATAACTTATGAAAATAGCATTTAACACACCATCTTGAATTCATATAATACCTTTTTACTCCACCTTAACTTTGCAAAAAGTGTATCTCAAATACGAATGCTTCGCAGAAAATGCTGTTTTTTAGTCCATATGGAAAACATTAAGTCTTCGAGTTATAAAACACAAATTTTTAGAAGATTCTTTCTTTCTTTCTTCCTCTGATGAAGAAACTATAAAAACATGAGTTGAAGGAATATGTAAGGCCACACCGATTTAATTTTATGGATGACATCCTCTGAAGATCCCCAAACTAGTGCGCGCGGGCGAAAAAAATAAAAATCCGGCCAAAAATAAAAATGCTACAAAACCACAGGAATACAAACCTGGTATAATTAATAATTGTGAATTTGGCGCATTACATAGCGACGTATACGACAGGCCGACACATGCTGGATTTTTGCGGAATATATGAATCGACACTGCTGTACGTATGTACTGAGTTCTTGAGTCTTGGAGCTTCGGTAGCCTGGCTGCCGTCAACCAGAGTTATCACCACCATGCACTACCCAGGCCTAAAGCCAGGCCAGAGCCTCGGAATACGTGATTCTCTTTTTTTTGAGATCGGGCGAAAATCAATGCGCGCGCGGATGTCATCCATAAAATTAAATCGGTGTGGCCTAAGAAGAATTATACATTATTGACATTCATTTTCAGTTGTAGTATAAGTTGTGTTTAGAAGATATTTCATCCACGTTTCATGGTTAATATTTCCTTCTTTTTTGGTCAAAATTTTATGAAGTGCTCTCAAAACTACCTTCGCAATGAACTATGACATGGAAAAGTAATAAAATATTATATTAGCTTAAGCATAAGTAAATAATGTTGTTTGAGTCAGTGAAGGTTAGACATTCAGATAATAAGATACGTCAAAAAACAGTTACTCAAGCAACTGGATATGATTTTGGAAATGGTCAGATGTTTCAGGTAGCATCAACTACCTTTCGTCAGTGACACTGGAGAATTGTCAGAAAAGCAGGTCAAGTATGAACTATTGATTGATATGCAAATGAGTGACAACAAATTTTTGTTGTTGTTTAGGCCACACCAATTTAATTTCTTGGTTAACGGATTCGCCCGCTTCATTTTTTTCTGATTTGCACATAAAAATAAAACTTCAGAATCAACTGCAAAATGCTCATATTTTGCCCTGAACAGTTGAAAACAGTCCTCTTCTTCCTAGTTGTTACAGTTATTCCATCTCTCAATGCAATGGTATCATTAAAAGTTCAGAATTCATTGTTCAAATTTTGAACCAGCCTGGTGTGTTGACTTCATGGCTCCTATGATCGTACCATTTTGGACCATAATAGGATGCCTAGGCTTGTTTTTATTTTTATTTTTTTTCGCCCGCCCACTCCATTATTTTTCTAGAAAAATCCGTTAACCAAGAAATTAAATTGGTGTGGCCTTACCTTCGTTTTCTGTTGATTTCCTGTCTTGTGTAGGAATCTCTCCTACTGCCTTGATTAACACTGTGAACGTGGCCATGGCACCTGGTTGTAGCGGAAGTTGGGCTTTTGTGTTCTCCAAATTCCAGGTGAAAAATCCGGAGGGAACCTTGGGAGAACTTATGGAAGTGTCCAAACTTATGTCTATGGATTCCACAGGAATTTGGCTGACGTTTTGGAGAGTTAGAACACATTCTTGGCTGGAAATGGAGAAAAAAATAGTCAAATAAGAACAAAACGTAACAAATAAGATCACAAATTTATGACTAGATGATATCTTATTCACATTTATATGGAACATTTTGCTACATGTATGCATTATGATTTTTTCTAAATTCTTTGACAAAGGCTGCAACTTACATTTAATAATTACTAACATCTATATGTAGTACCTTCCAGAATTGATAGGTGGCACTGTTACACTGTCATAACACCACATATTGTACACTTTCTATTTAACACTACGTCTAAAATTTATCTTACAAACATCCAACTGCAGGACCATTCAGATATGATAGGTGGTGCCATTTAACTACAGCACCACCAAAACAATATGTTTTTGAATACCAGCAATGAATGGGCAATAATCTGACAGCCAATCGTAGTGTACCTTTCTCCAGCGTATAGCCTAGCAGCAGCACTTGTCACAGCGGTTTCCTTGGCCTTGTTGAGACCTAGGTTGTGATTGGTCGTCCCAAATGCCGCTTTTGGCAGCGACGTGGTGACCTGTAGTTTTGGGAGTTCGGGTACGACCTCTACCGAGTAGTCCGGCACCGCGATCTGTCGTAGGTCCTTGAACTTGCAATGGGACTTCACGCCAAGGATGTGTGTTACATACCCTACATGACAAAATGGTACATGTAAAAAATCTACAATCTTTGCAATATTTATAAAGAAATTTTATAAGAACAAACCATAAAAAATCAAAGAGTTAAAAGAGAATGATTGCAACTACCCATAAGGCAGCACAAAAGTTTGCCTGTGAACTTAAAATGTAAAATTGAACAGGTTTGATACTTTATATCATTCAGGAGAAAATGAAAATATTACAGTAAAGAAACCCCATGTGATAATTGACAGAACCCCATGAGATAACCATTAGATCTCTGCATGATAACCCAAGTTATAACATGGTCCAGATGGACACCCATAACGGAAGTTATCAAGGCCCAGGCAGGACATAAGAAAATGATACATGCTGTAATAATGTATACCTAAATGGGAACTATAGTGGTTTGTAATACACAGTCTTACTTACAGTTTTATCATGATCATGAGCTGATCATGAGCTGATCATGAGCTGATCATGAGCTGATCATGAGCTTATCATGAGCTTATCATGAGCTTATCATGAGCTGATCATGAGTATCATGAGCTGATCATGAGCTGATCATGAGCTGATCATGAGTTGATCATGAGCTGATCATGAGCTGATCATGAGCTGATTATGAGCTGATCATGAGCTGATCATGAGTATTATGAGCTGATCATGAGCTGATCATGAGCTGATTATGAGCTTATCATGAGCTGATCATGAGCTGATCATGAGCTTATCATGAGCTGATCATGAGCTGATCATAAGTTGATCATGAGCTGATCATGAGCTGATCATGACCTGATCATTATCTGATAATGAGCTGATCATGAGCTGATCATGGGTTTATCATGAGCTGACCATGAGCTGATCATAACCTGATCATGTGCTGATCATGAGTTTTACTCACCCACGAGTTTGAGCTGTCCGGCTGTTTTGGGAGTCCCCAGTAGGGTGACGCCAAGTGGTCCTGACTCGGCGGGGAGGGACAGGTTACTGATGAGGGGCTCAAACACTATCCCTTCTGACATCACACTCTGGGCAACAGAGGAGAAAAGGTTGAAGTACAAAAAAGTTAAAGATAGTCCCCCGTTAACATTGTTGATCCATTGTGTCTAGGGCATGCTTTTGGAGCCCATCCCTCTCCTTCCACCACCTTTAAATTTTTGTCTTTCATACTAAGTCAGGTACCCATTTTACAGCTGGGTGGGGTGAGGAAAAATTTTGCAAAGTGCCTTTCCCAGGGACAAAACGTCTGGCCATGAACGCTAGGGAGCAAACCCGTGATGGCATCCAGGCTATCAAAGCTCCACATAACTCAAGAACTCAGTACAGTGCCGACTCATAAATGCTGCAAAAGGCCAGTAGTGCCGGCTTGTAAAAGTCGCCATGCAATACTACAAATTCACACAATACCAGCTACGTAATTCAGTGGTTGAGCAGCATTTTTTTGGCCGGATTTTTTTAGCACTTGTATGGGGGGTCTTCGAAGGATGTCATCCATAAAATTAAGTCAGTGTGGCCTAAAGAGACTACAAGCAACTACATTACAGTAAACTATTGTGCTCACCATGTTCTGCACCTTGAGTTCAAAGGGCATGGGGTTAACGACTTGTAGTGCCATCTCACACACCTCTCCACTCACCCACTGGAAGTCTACACAAACAGTAAATGGAAAAAAAGCAATTAAATGTCTCCACCCCTGAGGTGTTGCCAAAAAACAAACCCTCTCTATGAAGAAATGTGCAAATTTTATGACATAGACTTGAAGACCTACTGAAATTGTACTACAAGTGTGCTATTTTGTATTGTAGACTGATATAGAGTACTAGACTTTTATTTGAAGAGTTGGACATTAAAAATGAAATGTTGTGTCATATCAGTAGTAAATAAGTAACCATAACCAATTTGATTTCTTTTTAACGATGATAGATTTTAGTGTGCTCATTGTCCTACACTTGTGTGATTATAGTCCCATACTTGTGCAAAAATTTTTTTGCTGTTGCACATGTATGTCATGTAACTGTACCAAAATGTCAACATCTAATTTTGAACTACAATTGCCAGGTGTTATCAGCCAATGACAGACATCATTTTGTACCACCATCTCTTCCACCAATCCCAACAACCCTAGCAAATGAAAAGTTTATATACCCATTTTTGATTGGTCCTTTTTCTCCTGCTGCCTTGACTGGATTGGTGAGTAGATGAAGGGACTGTTGAGGGAGGCGGAGCTTGTCTGACTCGATGGCTTCTTCATGGGTCTCAAGTGCGGGGCCAGGTCTAGTAACTTGAATGACCTTGAGAAACAAAAAATTCAAGATTTCATACCTCCACAAAGTATTTAGAGTTGTTATGAATGTCTTATTCTATTCATTATTATATTAATAGAGAATTTTTCACTGTACTCCCAGCCTGTGAGGAGACCATTCAGACCTCCAATTTGACCTTCCTGACAGTCTGTGGTTACAAAATTCCCCCCTCACTTAGTATGACTTCAAATAACTACAAACACACATTGCAAACAACAGAAAAACACCTCAAAAGCAAAACAGGGTAACAAATTAAAGCAGATTTCTGAACTCACTTCAGGTTCTGACAGTAACATGCAAATTGTCCTTTGGCCACACCAATTTAATTTCTTGGTTAACGGATTCGCCGCTTCATTTTTTGTCTGATTTGCAAATAAAAATAAAAATTCAGAATCAACTGCAAAACGCTCATACTTTGCCCTGAACAGTTGAAAACAGTCCTTTTCTTACTACTTGTTACAGTCATTCCATGTTTCAATGCAGTAGTATCATTAAAAGTTCAAAATTCATTGTTTAAATTTTGAACCAGCCTGGTGTGTTGACTTCATGGCTCCTATCGTACCATTTTGGCCCTTAATAGGATGCCTAGGCCTCAGCCCTGTTTTTATTTTTATTTTTTTTCCGCCCGCCTGCTCCAATATTTTTGTAGAAAAATCCGTTAACCAAGAAATTAAATTGGTGTGGCCTTAACAATAAAAAAAAACCTACACACATGTACTCCAGAAGAGCCAAGAAAACGTAAGTGTAAACTGAAGTAGCCCTGAACAGTTACATGTAAAATGTACAAAGTTTAAACCAGTATCGCTTACTTGACGGTCGGCAGGTTTGTCATTGGCACAGGAGGCAAGATGGCACCGCTCTCCAGCGCGAGCGGTACGGGCGTCCCCGGGACCTTCGCCGTGTAACTCTCCAACACTTTGGACAACTCTTTCCTCTCGTACGGTGTGAGATGTTCACTCATGGCATGGAGGAGGAACGACATGTGTCTAGGAAATAACAATTAGAGCTGTCAGCCATTGGTCAGTTACTAAGTCTTGTCAAACTGAATGATAGGCCACACCGACTTAATTTTATGGATGACCTTCTCTTAAGACCCCTAAACTAGTGCGCACGGGTGAATAAAAAAAAACTTCTGGCCAAAAATAAAAATGCTACTTAACCACAAGAATACAAAGCTGGTATTGTGAATTTGCGTCAGTATACAGCGACGTATACAACTGAAGGGTGGTCATACTGGCTATACAAATACAGAAGCTGGTGTGTTACACCAAAGGGTGGTCATACCATCTATACAGATACAGAAGCTGGTGTGTTACGCTGAAGGGCGGTTATACCGGCTATACAGATACAGAAGCTGGTGTGTTACGCTGAAGGGCGGTTATACCGGCTATACAGATACAGAAGCTGGTGTGTTACGCTGAAGGGCGGTCATACCGGCTATACAGATACAGAAGCTAGTGTGTTACGCTGAAGGGCGGTCATACCGGCTATACAGATACAGAAGCTGGTGTGTTACGCTGAAGGGCAGTTATACCGGCTATACAGATACAGAAGCTGGTGTGTTACTCTGAAGGGCGGTTATACCGGCTATACAGATACAGAAGCTGGTGTGTTACGCCGAAGGGCGGTTATACTGGCTATACAGATACAAAAGCTGGTGTGTTACGCCGAAGGGCAGTCATACCAGCTATACAGATACAGAAGCTGGTGTGTTACGCAGAAGGGCGGTTATACCAGCTATACAGATACAAAATATGTTTACTGTTACTTTAATACGTACATAGCAATAACTAGTAATGCCTTATGTGTACCTACCTGACAGCTAAGGCAGGGTTGCCCATTTTCCTGGCAGTGTACACCATCTCGTGTAGAATCCGCAGCTGTATGGCCGGCCAACCGTACGTGTACTCCCGCGGGAACTGTCGCGGGTCCAACGACAGGCTGTAACCCTCTAGGGTCTCCTGCAGCAGGTGGTAACACTGGACAAAAATTAACAAAATTAGGTTAAAAACTAGAAAAATAACATTTGCATAAAAATGCATAATGTTTACCTTTACATGATCTAACCCAACAAACTACTGCTCTGTATCTTACTCAAACACATTCATATACCGGGTATTACATAAATATAGTGATCAGGCTATCCAACTCTGTCCTGCTACATAAATGTAACCCAACACCACAGGGTGTCTGCTACAGCACCAGTTACCATGGTGACAGACGTCTGGTCCAGGTCATTGACCTTTTACTTGTTTGGAGAAGACTTGTTTGGAGTAACTGAACAAAACAATTATATTTTCCTTCTGCGAAGGTAAACATACACATGTAATTACGGTTAAACCCTATTAATAATAATGCTAATCTATAACAAAAATAACCATCAAAATAACAGTTACTGTATGATATCATGATAATTTAAACTGATATTCAGACTTCGGGAAATCTAAATTGAATCTCATTTGTTGCTAAGTTGTAATAAACTACATTATTGTGTAGGTTGAGTTGGTTGTTGTATGTAATAGTGCAGAAATATTGGCCTTGAAAATAAATGTTCAGAATTTGAAATGTCTTTTATGTCTTTTATCCAAAATGTCTTTCAGTTCATGTCTTTGAAATTCATAAATGTTCCAAATCTGAAATGTTTTTTATACATGTAGACAAAGTTCAATTTTACCAATGCAAATAAATGTAGCTTCAAATCACATGCACAAACTAGACATAAATATTAGGTATCATGAGCCTTTAGTTATTGATTATACAGTTATTATTTACTTACAGAGTTCCAAGCTGGGTTGGGGTTATTTGGAGACACACATTGCATGGCGGCCACTCTCTTGAAGAAGGCAGCTTTTCTCTTGAAGCCTATCTGTTCATACAGCCCTGACAGTGTATTGTATCTCTGGATCTGTGGAAATAAGAGTGTGGAACAACATGTATTGTTGCAGCATTGTGTAATGGTTAGAGTTAGTGGTGCATACCTAAAACCACATTTAGGTTCAGGTCCGGATTCAAGTCCAGAGGTTTAGGTTCAGGTCCGGACCTTAACCCATGGCATATACAAAATTGCATGTTGGCAACCTTGCAATGTTGTCTGGGTGAAACTTTGGCCACATAACATGGAGGCCGATACTTGACGATGCTCGATGACAATGTTTTCTTGATTTTGCAGCAAAGATTTTGCAATGTACGGAAGGTTTTAGGTGGTTTGGAAAGAAGTCCAGATCCAAGTCCAGTGAACCGGTATGCAGCTCAACCAGGAACCAAGAGGTTTTGGGTTCAAATCCTTGACGTCATGCCGTTAGAAAGGTACTCGGTTAATTTTGCAAAAAAATAATAAAAAACCTGATTTCATTATGACATTTTATTGTACATCACATCCCTGTCACTGGCATAAATGAGTTTCAGTTTTGGGACAAGAAAAATCACAGAACATTTTTCTAAATAAATATTGATGTGAAGCAAACTGCTTACTCGATAGTAACTAATTAAAAGTTTATTTTATTTATTATTTATTTATTTATTGATGACAATTTACCACATTTGTGGAAGGATTTACATAACAGGTGACTATCACCTCTTCAAAGATGTCAAACCTGAGACCAGACTGTAATGTTTGAACCACTCACACCGGGAAGGTCCCCTACTCTTTTCGATAAGTGTGGTGGGTTCTTTAACGTGCGTGGGGTGTGGCTCTCCCAAACACGGGACCTCCATTTAACGTCCTATCCAAGGGACGTCCCTAGCCGAAGCTAGGTACTCATTTTCACCTGAGTAAAGTGAGGAAAGTCGTGTAAAGTACCTTTCCCAAGGGTACACTACAACGTCGCGGCGCATGTTCGGATTTGTTCGGGTACGACCCGGGTTCGTGGCGTCGTGTGGTATAGTGACTATACCACACGACGCCACGATTTATTAGTTTGGCTCACGACAGCCAGGGTTGCCCAACTAGTCGTAGACTATTGTTAAGGGTCAACCCTTGGAGAAATAGAATCGTTAAGTAATTAATACTATACATACAATCCATAAGATACACGGTCAAAAGTTACAATAATATTACATGTATTGGATCATATAATTTAAATCCAAGTTATCAACTAGATTTGTTTAGTTGTTTGTTTAGTCCTTACCTTATCTTCGTCTGTGAGTTGAATGTTGATGTAAACCATGTTCTGGAGAAACTCAGATGCCTGGAGATTTTTCTATGGGATTAGGAATAAAATGATCACATTAGCACATTTACTTTAATTTCGTGCAAATCATCAACTTAAAAGCAAAATGCACCTTAAATTTTACATGTAATTTTAACAGTTTGAAGTTTAATATACAATCATGTAATTTTCAAATTGTTTCACTACCAAAAATGGATCTCAGTCCATGCCAAATACTTCATGCATCATAAAATTGTAATAAACTATATATTCTAATCAAGTGACAACCATTTAAAAATCATGCAAACATGTAAGTAACATACATAGCTTATTGAACAGTAATCTATAGTAACTGCTCATATACATGTAATAAGCTACTTCACAGTTCCAAGTGTGCATGTGCCTATAATGTAGGTCAAAGGTTTGGGCACCTAACTTGTAAATAAAATTAGATGTTTTCCTTTTACCATTTGAATCATTAATTTTTTTGTACATCACCTTTGACCTTTCCCACAATTCCTTAGAACTGTGAAAAAGCATGCATTCACGAGTTGCACATTCCCAGGATCCTTTGCGCACAGGGTAGGGAAAGGTCGCGGTAAACCACGTGACTCATTCTCGGCTCTGGTCGGAAGAAGTCGAAAGTGTTCGCGAGCGCTCGAAAATTTCAAAAATGGCTGACACCACTACCGGCGGCGGGAGGCACGTAGTTTTTCACAGCGTTCGTACGGCAAAGCGGCATCGAATTTTTGCTCCATGACTATCGGTATGGGATAGGATAGGGTTGATTCAACATACTACGTGAAAATGTGACAAAAAGACAGGCTTTTGAAATTGAATGCTCCCAGCCTACTATCGGCCAGATATCGCTTAGGGCACCTTCTTCTGACTAGAGCCGAGGATGAGTCACGTGGTTTACCGCGACCTTTCCCCACCCTGTGCGCAAAGGATCCTGGGAATGTGCAACTCGTGAATAGAAAGAAAGAAACAGCAAAGAAGGGAATGAAGGGAGGAGAGAGAATGTGAAGGGAAAACTTACCCCCTGCATAAGCATTACCCGACACGCCTTTACACTGGCCTCCATTTCAACAACACCAGCATAGGAATACTAGGGACGAAGGGAACGAAGGAAAGAAATACAGAGGACAGAAAACAAACAGATTGAAGAGATTGAATGAGAGTGGAAAGCAAGAAGGATGCCCTCAAAAGTATGAAAAAGATGATTAAAAAAAACATACAGTAAAGGAAAATTAAGTTGGTGAAATTTAGGAACGAAAAAAAAAATACAGGATGAAAACAGGATGAAAATGTATGACAATGAGATAAACCAAGAAGACAAGAGATGAAAGAGTTAGTTCCAAAGGGTTAATTTTACAGTAGGTATCTACATTTAGACAAGGACCATTGTTACAGAATTTTCTTCTTTTCAAAAGAAAAAATGTCAAAATAATGTACTGACAAATAAAATTTTTTCCTTTGAGATGAAAACTCTGTAACTTGGGATGGTCCCCTTTCATTTGTCAAGTTAGATTATGGGATTTGTATGGCCATTGGCTAAGGACATTCCTTGGTTAATTCTTTTTCAAAAAGGAACAAAATTGATATCATAATGATATTGCTGCGTTTGTTCCTAAATGAAAGTATATTCAAGTTGTTCAATGAATATAGTTTAAAACATTCTTTTCTTGTAAATTTGGATGATTTGAAACTTGGCTGGGTTCGATTGAATTTCCTGATTTGAAATAAAACTGATAATTTTTGTGAAATCTCAAAAAATCTAAAGCACTCCAAAATTTAGTTCTGTTTTTCTAGGTGTCAAAAATATTAATTATTGTGACACGATTTTTGTATAACCTTGATACAAAAAATGGAAAAAATCACAGATATTTTAAAACCCAAAAACGTCCTTGGCCGAGGCCTCCCATATGATGCATTGCTACCACTCACCCGTTGCGTTATCATAATTCTAGTGGCTTTAATGATGCCTTCCAACTCTATGACTGCTGCATTCTTGTACTGAACATGCAAAAATAAACGTCAAACCTTCATGCAAGAAAAATGAAGCATTGTACTGTTAAGTTTTTTATTTTCGCAGTGGTTCTAATTTGCAAAAGAATTTGGTTTTGGGGGTGATTGCAGATGAAACAATTTGAAAATTCATGGTAGTAATACAAATGCATATTGTTACTCTATCGTGCAATGTGGCAATGATGCCACACCGAAAATTAAACCACTGCAAAAATTTTAAGCTTTACAGTAACTTAGGAACATACATTGTACATGTACAGCAGGCTTAATAAATGCTGATGTCAATACTAAATGAAAGTCAACAATAATTGTTAAACACTGAAAAATGATCACAAAAATGATATCTAGTACTAATTATACAACTTACTAGTGATGCATACCTAAACCCATTTTCGGTTCAGGTCCGGATTCAAGTCCAGAGGTTTAGGTTCAGTTCCGGACTTGTAAGTCCGGACCTAAACCCACGGCATATACAAAATTGCATGTTGGCAACCTTGCAATGTTGTCTGGGTGAAGCTTTGGCCACATAACATGGAGGCTGGTACTTGACGATGCCCGATGGCAATGTTTTCTTCATTTGCAGCAAAGATTTTGCAATATACGGAAGGTTTTAGGTGGTTTGGAAAGAAAAGGGGTATGTGAAATGGTCTTTTATGGTAATAAGTCCAGACTCGGTTCTTGACTTTTAGGTTTTTTTGGACTTGAACTTAAACATTCTTACAAGTCCGGATGCAAGTCCAGTGAACCGGTATGCATCACTACAACTTACAGTTGCAATAGATGCAGATTTTAATTAAATCTAGTATATATGTAATATTGTTATGAATGTGAATTTATTGTTTCATATTGCATGTAATGTACATTTTGCACAAAGAAATCAAGCTGAAGTTTCCATTGGAAACTTGTTCAGTTTTCATAGCTTGTGCAATAATTGATGTAAAATATGATGATTCTTCAAAATTTCATAAAACTTATTGAACAGATTTTCCAATGCTTTAATAAACCACGATGTGTAAAACATTCAAATATTTTCACTCTATATGACTGTCATCATATTAGGGTTATTAGAAGTCACACAACAAGACCTCCTAATACCCTACCTTGCTGTACTGAATCAGTGCCTCCTTGTATTTCTCAATGATCTCATCAGGCGACAAACAGTTCTTGGCTTTGCCGTCTTGCAGGAATTCTGCTGTTGCCATTGGTAACCCGTTGGGTGACATTGTTGCTGAAATAATGAAAAAAAAAAGTTAAAATTGAACATTGAAAAAAAAGAAATCAGGGCAGTTTGCAACCAGTAGCCACAGGCAAATAGCAAGATAATATATGTACATTATAGTTTTATACAATTCACAGACAAGCAATGCTTATATTATGTAATCCATGCAGTGTGAAAAAAGTTAGAACCACAATTCAGCCACATCTTAAAGCCACACCCCTGCAAAATGAACATTCAAGAGTTTAAAATTAGTCAAAAGCCACCACCTTTAGGGATGCAAAAATGTTAGAATCTAGCAAAAATTAGTCAATGTTTAATAAACTTCTTTCGATTCCTTGGTCACTTGGTCATAGGCAGACCAATAATCGACACCGTTATGTTTCCTTCTACATGTAGGTCTGTTTCAGGCCCCCTGATTGGTCAGGTCTGCTGACCAATCCAGCACAATTATTTGAAATAAGGTAATGCTGATTGGCTCACCACTGACCAATCAGAAAGCCTCATATAATTACACTAAAAAAAGAAGTGTTAGTCTCTTGTCATACACACATATGTTAACACTAGCACGTCGGCAGAACGTACTGCACCTGCACAAAACCCGTAATGTATTGTACATAGCACTTCGTAGAACGTCTCCTATAAGGTTGTATTCGCTCATATAAGGTTAGCATTCCGACAGTAGTTTTTAAATGTTATGTCGTAAAAGATATCGTCTGCAACAGGGAAAATTCTGATGCAACGTTGACCAAAAATCCAACGAAAACCGTGAAAATTCAGGGTTCTGCGCAGGCGCAGTACGTTCTGCCGACGTGCTGTTAACACTCAAGTACATGTTGACAAACTGTACACATGTACATTACATGCTGCACAACAATAGACAAGTCTTGTTCAGGCATGTACAGGGATGTAGGCAAGTTCCCATCACCAGGCATCCTAAAACCACACCCTATACATGTGTGGTAGCCTCAAGAGCAGGCCCTTCAGCTAGAATTTTTCAATTTTTTTTTGGTTTTCAAAATTTATCCAGTTGCTTAATGAGTAACAATTACTTGTGCAGTTTATGCAGTTTTTTTTAATAACTGTTTGTTCAACATTTCATAAGTCACTGCTTTGGATTGAATGATCAGAGGATGGAAGCAAACATGAAAATACAAATGTATGTGCATGATCTAAACAAACTGTAAAATGAAAATGCCTGCAAAGGAGCCTGCTGGTGGAGGCTAAGACGGGACTCACGAGGGGCGGAGACGTCAAGGAACTGAGACACTGCGCTCCACAGCGCGTTTCCCGTGGCAGTTAGGCGACTGTCGCTCGCTGAAAAACCACCCTCCATGTTTTTACAAGTATAACATACGAATGTTTAATATATAAAAGATTCCATTAAACTACATGTAAATTATCATATGCTTTTAGCTATGTTTGGGACACAGTGGAGTCTGTTTTATGTACTACTTAAAGTAAAAAAGAACATGAAAAAATTTAATCAAACAATTTCATATAAATTAGAATATACACACAAAAGGGAAAAAAAATTCTTGATTTATGACAAAATATAAAAAAAATCTTAATTTTGACATGATCACATTCAATAGAAACAATGTACATTGTAACACCATGACAATTAAAACCATAGAACTAGAAGATGATGAACAAGAACTGTTAGTTCAGTCATGACCCCATAGGTGCAAGATGATGATGCATTGTTAGTTCAGTCATGACCCCATAGCACTTTGCCTCACCTGTCCTAGTAAGCGTTTCACTACGCCTTCTCTCTAGTGAGAAAACAACACAGACAAAATACAAACACAAACTCAATTTGATTCCAATTCACCATGTTACACTCTTCAATTTTAAAACAAATGTCAATTCGAAAAAGTCAACTTGAAACAAGTAAAAGCCAATCAGTCATACAACATTTAGCATTTGAACTGGTAAAAGTTGCTCAGGCATGACCCCATAGCACCATAACATACCTGCCCCATTGATGGTCCCGCTAAGGCCAAGTCTCTCTGGTAATAAAACATTTGAAACATTCACAAACAAAAAATTTAAATCAATGGTACATAAATGATGATCAACCCTAATATTTGATAACTTCTTTAGAAAAATATCAGGTTGAAAGGGGATGAAAAAAATTATCTTCAAAACCTGAAAGCAAATGAGTCGTAGGTCAGTCATGACCCCATAACCCTGTGACTAACCTGCCCTAGTGACTGTTTCACTACGCCTTCTCTCTGAAGACAACACATTAACATAAAACAAGAAAAACATTCAACTCAAAATCACCATAACAGTACACCATAATGTTACGTAAAAGGTCAACATATTAAAGAATACATTTTAGAACCAAAAAGCCAATCAGACAAAAGTGGTAGGTCAGTCATGACCCCATAACACCATGACTCACCTGCCCTAGTGAGTGACCCGGTGAGTTTTCTCTCTGCTGTCACCTTGGGGCTGCCGCTGAAGGACTGGTTACGAGGCATAGGGGGCCTTGTCGTGCCATGGGGATACTGTATAGTCACGGAGGCGGCACATGTTCCCTCAAAAGCAGCTGGAAAATGTTGAATGAGTAATCAGTGTTTAAACAAAATGGTATCCATAGAATTCTTTAATATCTACCATCTCTAGACCTGTCTCTCTGTTACAATTCTACCACCTCTGAACTGTATTTCCTGTCATTCCCGTCTGTGGTTACAGCATCCCCCCCTCACTAATTCTCAATACACAAGCAAAAAATTAGAAAATGTCTCCTGTTTCCCAACCAACGTTAGAAAAAACTGCCGACCCTAGCCTTTTTATTGGTGGACCCTGCAACTTGTGCAAGGGACATAATTTTTTAAAGCTGATCAACCTTTTCTTATCATTTGACACCTGAGTGATGAAACGTTATACAATCTGTTTTCCAACATTGACATTGAAAATATAAGTGTCTTCATGTAAGTTTTCCTTTGTCTAGCTGTATTTTAAAAGTTGGATCACTAGTGATTGCCATAAGTCTAAAAAAAAGATAATCCCTACCTACCGACCTCAATTTTTTCAGGGCTGAAACAGGAAACATAACATTTTTTTTCCTATGTCTAACACTAACAGAGGCACTGAATTCGAAACAAAACCTCCAAACACAGTGGTAACTAGAGAAGTAACATTTGCATTAGCATTAAATGCATAATGTTTACCTTCGGACATGGTCTGCCCTGTTAATTTTTACTCAAACACATTCACATACATGTACTACTACATGTAGTATATGGTGACAGGAGCAGAGCAGACCATGAAATTGCAACATTATGTAACCCAACACCAGTCACCATGGTGACAGACGTCAACAAATCATGCCATTGGCCAGGTCAGAGGTTAGTGTTTGGAACAGAAGAGGAGGAAGAAACTGAGTAAAAACAATATGTTTTCCTTCGGTAAACATAATAATGTTCTGACCAGCGAGCCAGAGCCAGTCGTTGGCAGATTTGAGGATGTCAGCGGAGGCCTGATAGTGCAGCAGGGCTTCCTGTGTCAGACCTGCCAGCAGACACAAGTCTCCTGAGTACTTCCTCATCCGGCCCTGACATCGCTTCCTAAAGGCTCTGCATGCATGAGAGAGTTTAGATTTAAAAGTAGATCATGGTTATATTCATCAATTGTTTGTGTATCTTACATTACAGGTCTATACTATATTATAGTATATAGTGACACAAACCTAGCTCCACTCCTAAAATAGAATAGAATTTAGAAAAGAACATAGAGAGCTTGGGGATTTCTAGTTTGCATAGATATAATTATTTTGTATTCTATTCAGTTTCTTATAGCTATCAAACCAATGAAACAAAGAGTAAGTGTTAGATGGGATTTTTGGTGACATTTGTCTTTTTATTTTTCATAAACTGTACCTTACCACAGTAAGGGGGAGATATTGGATGCATGGGGGACTTATTAAAGTTTTGCAGTGAGCTAAACAGAGGGCATAACTGAATTATAACACCAACCTTGTTTCTGTGTCAATACCAATCAGGTCTTTCTTCTCAAATGGCGCCAAAAGCAACGGCAGTTTTTCCGACTTGTCGCTCGCCAATCTCTCCGCCTGCAACCTCTTCGATTCCAGGACCCAGAAAAGCGATGCCGCGAATTCCCGGACAGTTTCGTCCAGCGAAAAACTTTCCTCCACGCTGGAATAATACACCATGTTTGTTTTCGCGTTGGTCCCGTTTTCTTGCTTCATGCCGAAGATTAAACAGCGGGAATCGTACAGCGTGGACGCGTATAGTTCCTTCAGCAGGTTGTATCGCTCTTGTACCATCCCGGTGTCCGCGGTGGTCGTACATTTCCCGACAACCAGCAGTCCCATGACTTTGCGATGCGCCTGAAACTCGCCCCAAACAATGTTCTCTACGGGGGAGCTTTTCTTGTAGCGTAGACAGAACGAGCGTTGTGAATCCGGGAGGCGGACGTAGCGACAGCGCGTGATGCGGTCAAAGATGTGGTTGAAGGTTTTGGCGTTGATCTGACCGGCGGGTTTGACCACCACGAGAACGGCCTGGTGGTCCTCCGCGGTTTGTTCGTAATCGGCGATACTCATCGTGACTCGAGTTTGCCTCAATTACCTGAAAAAAAAGACACATGTGGGACACTTCTAAAGCTTCCAAAAAAGAAGTCAACCCAAAGAAAGGTAACATTTGCAAGCAAATGCAGTATGCTACCTTCACATGGTCCCACCTACCATTCCATTGGGTAAGGATCAGTATATACGTAGATGTTTGTGTTTGAAGAAGAAGGAATTGATAAAAAACAATATGTTTCCTTCTGCAAAGGTAACATAAAATTAAAAAGTTAAGATTGTACTTAGTATTCAGAATAGAATACTATATTAGTCACTTGTTTCACATGTATGTATGTAGTATACAAAATTGAAATTGTATGTTGCAAGTAGCCCTAGGGCATGAACTTGCAAAATAAAATTGGTTTATTCATAATATTTCCGTGTATGACTATCATATACAACCAAATCTTGTGCTATAAAGTATAATATCACATCCAGTGAATGGTCTAGGCAAAAAGTAGGTCACAGTTGGGTGATTTGCCTACCAATAATTTGCATCTGCCTTCAACTAATTTGCATGAACATGATGTAAACAAAATCAGCGATCGCTCATAAATAGTTATACAATCATCTGAAAAGCGTTATACATTCCTAATATTACAGTTATGAGCATATTATTGTTTTCGAGTTCTTACAATATTAGTAGAATTAGTGTCAATGTTTTTATTTAAAAAATAGATCAATCTCTTAGAATCGTTAGATATAAGCAATTTAGTTCAACTTCCATTTATGTATCTTATATAAGTTGCCATACATTTTTGTACCTGCTATACTACAATTGATATGCAGATTGGAGTTAGCATTTATTTAGTGCAAGAAATAATTTAGAAGTCTGGAAAAGATACACCACGAGCGACCATGCCTGGTACAAACTTAAAGTAGATAAATTGTCGGTCTGTTTTGGACAGGGTTAAATTTAGAAACATCACACATATGAGGTCACGTTAAAAAAACGTCAAATACATATGCCGCAAAATTATGTTTTTCTGCAATGTTTACAGGCCACTATTGTCATTTTTTCTTCCAAGAGCTCGATGCAAAATGGAACGAAATATCTGAAAGGACATTGTACAGCTGCCATGACTAGAAAAACGCCAATATATGTGGTCATATATTGTGTCAAATCGATTTGCAAAGTAATTTGATTCAGTTCCAACATACGAACTGATCGTACAAGGTTCATGTAAAACGGCTCATACTCGAAACTGAACGCACCTCAGCTTCAAAACAGCCCTCTGTTGTGTTGTACACATCACTGGTGGTGCGTTTCTAGCTGGAAAGTGTCGAGTCTCGCCTGTACGGAGCTACAAGCTGGAAAATATCTGAAAACATCCACGTAATTTTTCGCAGTTGCAGAAAGACGGCCATCTTGGAGGATTGACAGCTACCAGGCATGCGCACTGGATGGAGGAAACCATTCAGTTTAGGGGGAGGATAAAGGCTCAACACTTTCAAAAGTTGATACATTGTATGATCTTTTATAATATTTTGTATACAAAATACATGTTTAATATTGTACCGTTCAGCCCCAACTCTAAAGAATGTTAGTACATTTTCACCCGAAAGGATTTGTACGAAATTTCAAGTGTTGAAAGCTTTAGTAGGGACCTTGATCAAGTTGTGTTTAAAAGGCCACAGCAAGTAAATTTTAGGGATGACATTAATTTTCGCCTGATTTGGGGGAAAAAAACAAGAAATTTTGTTGCCCCTGATAGTGGTCACCATGCCGAAAATGGGCAAAGATGTCTGCTGCCACGCTGGAACATGGATGGCAGATGAATATGAAGAGAGGAGACAAGGCTCTGATTTTTAAATCGTTTTGTCTCTTTGCTGCAGTCATGAATTTTTATATTCATTCCTTTTATATGGTGGCTGTGTCTGAATAAAGACAACTTGCTGGTACATTGTATTGTGAACTTGTGAACTTGCAGCAGTACATAGCGACGTTTACGACAAGCCGGCACAGGCTGGCTTTTTGCGGAATTTATGAATCGGCACTCACTGTACGTATGAACTGCGTTCGTGAGTCGTGGGGCTTCGGCAGCCTGTGTCCCGCCCGTATTGTCGGCTAACTACCATGAACTACCCAGGCCTAGAGCCAGGCCAGAGCCTCGGAGGACGTAATATTTTTTTTTAGAAGAGACGAAAATCAATGCGCGCGCGGCGATGTCATCCATAAAATTAAGACGGTGTGGCCTTACCAATGGGCACTGTCGGACTGGGAGCCCCTAAAGCCTCGGTCACAACCCGCCGTACGTGCTTTTTGTCCGTACGGTTTTTGGGAGGCCACGTCTGCTACGTTTTTCTGAAAACGTGCGTTGTACGCTCATAGGCTGTACAAGGCACGCACGTTGCACGTACGGGTGGTGAATCCGCAGACCGTACGCATGAAAAGTTTTGCATGCACTTAAAGTTCTACGGCGTGTCTGCGTGCTCCGAAATCCGTAGGATTCCGTACGGAGGTGGTACTCACCACGCACGGATGCCCTACGTTTGCCCACGTTTTTGCATGTAGACAGCCTGCACGCAGAAGCACGTACGGCGGGTTGTGACCGTAGCATTACATGTGGAGTAGCACAGGGAACACTGTTAGGGCCAATTGTGTTTCTGGCAACGATTCAAAGATTTCAAACCCGCAACCACAAATACTCACTGGAAGTATGTTGATGATGTCAACCTTGGAGAGACGAGACCAAAAGGTAGATGGCGCACGTTGTTTTGGTTTTTTAGTATGTGTGTTTTAGTGCGTGAAAATGATGCGTTTTGACAGCGTATGGACACCCCTTTGAGTGTGAAAGTGGTTTTGTCTTTTGATTTTTTTACTTTGTCACTTTGTTGTAATTTCAAAGGCTGGTTCAAATGTATAACGCACCGCTAGGCATTAAGATGAAACGTAACGTATATAAAGATCTGCCCGTCCATGTCCACTTTTAAAATGAGATGTAAGAATTGGCTTGACCTCTGGCCCCTCCTTACAAACAATTTGGACTGGACAATGACTGAGCTGGACAATTTCTACTTTTTGTTATTATTTATTAATGTTATAGGTTACTTACTGTTTTTCCGTTATTATCATTGCCATAAAGACCATTTATACAAAGATTGAAAACGTTTGTTTTTCAAAGTTGTTTCAGTAAGAAATGAATGTTGTAATAGTTGGCAGGAAACTAAAGCACAATAGAGGTATCATTCTTGTTCAACAAGGTTTATGATGTCAACATTTTCAAATGGAGGAATCTTCTTTCATTTGGCCCGTCTTGTTTTTTTTTCACCCTATTGAAATAGATTTGTAGTCTGTGGAGGATGTCATCCATAAAATTTACTTGCTTTGGGCCTAATGTTTAGTTATATAATATTTCACTTTTCTGTCCCAACTCTAAAGAACTTAACTACATTTTTCATGTATGTCTTCGGGATTTGTATAGAATTCAAGTGTTGTTGCACGAAGAAACTGTAAGAGTAATGATTTAGGGACCTTGATCAAGTTGTGTTTAATAATTAAGGGCCTTGTCAGTTGCTATAACCACCGAATAAAGCCATCGAGTGAGCGCAGCGAACGAGGTGGCTATATGAGGTGCTTATAGCAACTGACAAGGCTTTATCACAACATATTCACAGAGAAAGGGCGGGCCATTAACACTATTATCATATAGCCTATCAAAACTTACACAGTAAAGAGTGCATGACACGTTACTGTATAAAGCATACAAACTTAAATTATAAAACAAGCTGCGCATTATTCTGCAACAAAGCACACTTGTGAGAATAAAACACACCTCGCAATACTTGTATCATACTAACTGTGACATTATGGTGTCATAATCAATATGGAATGGAGCCTTCTGATTGGTCAACGCCACCTGGCTATATGATAATAAAACATTAACGGAAAAGACAATCTTCGGCAGGTCTGCATATCTATCTACAACACATAGAAGAAGAAAACGTTTATCTTTTTTTGTATGCCAACATCGGCGTATTTATTACTCTCCAAGCAGAGGTTTTGGTTTTGGGGGTATTTTTAGCGTGTTTTTAGGCTTTTTTTTATTGGGGTTTCTCTTTTGCACTGAATTTTTGGTGGGAAAAAATTCAGTACTAGTGCAAAAGAGAAACCCCAACAAAAAAGCCTAAAAACACGCTAAAAATACCCCCAAAACCAAAACCTCTGCTTGGAGAGTACGAATTTATTGCATAAACTTAAAGCAGAGTGGTAAGTATAAAAACGCCCCATGGCGGTATTGCCAGGAATTACACCAAAGCATGGTGAGTTACACAAAAAAATAAGTCTTACTACTGGCATGATTGTTTATTAGTTCGTTTATTTTATTAAATTGCTTACATGCATGGACATATGGTTAAAAGAATAAAGCCACATCGTATTACTTAATAAAATGAAATAGTATACTGCAGTATCTAAATAAAAATTGCTACAAACCTCACATCACACCAATATATACATGAAAAAAAAGTTATTGCTTAGAAACGTCATCAATATTTTGTAGTTTTCTAAATTATTGGTTCATCCGACTTATTTTATAAGATAACTGAATTCAAACGAACCCAATACCATTATAGCAGCACAGTGTTAATGTCATTGACGTTAAAATTATATTTAAATGCATATTAAGGGATGGTAGACTTGGATCATTTTGAAATTAAAAGCGAAATATTACTCTTTGTGTAGCAATGAAACTTTTCTCCAGCAAAACAGATTGAACTGAAAATGATCATTCAGTCTTCTCTAGCTATCTAATCCAATTGCTCCGCCCACGTGACTTTATGCACGGGACGGGGGGCGACATAGACTTCCAACAACCTTTGACCCATTGCTGACGTCACACGTCCATAACGCCAGTCAACGTCCTTTTTTTTAAAATTGGAGAATAGTTTAATTGCTCCACGGTAAGTTACTAACTCACAGGAACTTTTATGGAAGAATAATTCCTCTTTTGCATCAAGGGCATGTTACTTTAAGGGAACAGACTCCGCCACGACTGTCAGTGAAGATGCGTCCTTCTTCTTCGTCTTGAGGATACGGTATCCTGCCACTGCCAGTATGATGACGATGGCGAGAACTCCAACCACAGTAGACAGGATCAGGACCTTTGTGCCAAACACTGCTGTCTGGACATCTGGTGAGCCTGAAAAAAATACAGATCAGTGTTCTGAATTATGTAGAACTCATCCGTTCGATATAAACCCAGCATAGTTTCCGTCAGGCATAGCCAACCATGGCCCCCCGACTAATCTCCAAGTACCCTGGAATCCAGAACTCGTTTTCCGGGCCGCAAGAGCCCTTCGCCCACTGGTGTAAATTACCGCTACGGGGGAGTCTAGCCCGGGGGGGAGTTTGGCTGGCTAGTTCTAGGGCCGGACAAACCCCTCGGGCTCAACTCCCCCGTAGCGGTAATTTAGATAGGCGGGTGAAGGGGTCTTGGCTGCCGAAGGAAAACGGCTAACGGCCCGATACTAGTTTGGCATCCAGGGTAATCTCCAAGCAGATCCTACTTGGTAGGTTTTCACAACGGGAGATTGATTAGCCCCACCACAATCAATCTCCCGTTGTGAAAAACCTATCGGGGGAACCTAGCTGAGTCGGGCGGGGAAGAGCTCCTGCAGCCCCGAAGAAAACCTGCCCCAACCACGATAACCTGGACACCAGGTTAATCTTTCCTCTCATCTCATCTCATTATCATTATTATTATCATTATCATTACTATTAGGCCATGTTGATTTGATTATATGGATGACATCCGCGCGCGCATGAATTTTCGGCCGTTTCCAAAAAAAAAAAGTTTTCAACCATACTGTAAATCGTACAAAACAGTTGCAAATGAGCAAAGATATACCGTAACCTGCAAAAAATATCTAAAAACCGTACCAATGTCGCAGAATGCCAAAATCAAACGAAAAAAAGACAAAGATTTAAAGAAATGAATTTGAATAGTAGATTATTCGCCAAACCATATTCTGCCTCATTTGTTCAACCGTCATGACCACGTAGATTTCATAATGAAAGCAACTTTTTTTTTTGCAAAACTTTTTTTATTCGCACGCGCGCATCAGTTTTGGGGCTCCCAGAGGATGTCATCCATATAATCAAATCAACATGGCCTTATTATTATTGTTATTCTTATTGTTATATTTCGTATATTCATGTTTTTATTATTTCTTATTTGTTTGGAGGAGTCAGCCTTGTTATAGGATTCCATTCTGTTGCTGACTCCTCTCAGTTTCTTCTCTGAAATCTTAATAAATAAATCTCATCCCATTACTGTACCTACCGTTATCGTCCAAATCGCGCTGGTATTCCTCCGAGCTCCAAGTGAAGTCCCCGCAGCGCGGGAAGCCCCTGGGCGGGGCGGGGTGCCGGTCTGCCGCCTCCTGCAGCACCAGCGCCATCCCCTCGTTCATGTGCTGATCGTTGTGACAGTGCAGGAACCAGTGCCCGGGGTTGTCAGACCTAACAGATACAAACATGAACAAGTAAAATCTTAGAGTTTATACCTCCGGGCTTTTTATTGTATATTTTTTATACAGGGCTTTAAACAAAGAATTTATCGAGACCGGACACCCCTCTGTGTGGGGGGTCATATACGTGGACCAGACCGAGAATAGCTTAAACACGCCAAAGGTCAACGGTCGCGACCACTTTCACGCTCAAAGGGGTGTTTTGGGGCCACCAAAAGGAACCATTTTCACACCCGAAACACATATACAATAAAAACAAAAGAACGTGCATCATCTGCAGCCAAATAGCAAAACATATACCGAGTCTCAAAAGAATCCGTCCACCGAAACGCGAGAAACAGCTGCGAACATGAAAATCTAAATCTCTCACAAAACCCTTCCACGGAAGGATGTCTCCTCCCCCGGAGGTACATGTAACTAGAACGGTGACATTTACAAAGGAAATGCATAATTCACCTGATCTAGCTACAGCCCAAAAAACTACAGCACTGTTTGTTCTCAAAGTTAAATGCATTCATATCATGTACAGTATGGTGAGCAGGCTCTCCAATTGTTCTCCTACATAATGTAACCCAACACCACAGGGTGTCTACTACAGCACCAGTTACCATGGTGACAGACGTCTGGCTCAGGATATCGGCTTTAAGTGTTTGGAACCGCCGGAAGAAGAAGAAACTGAGAAAAACAGATATAGAAGATTACAGACTTCCGAGAAGTATAATATATGCAATCCTAGACTTCCTGAAGTTCATCCATGCCGACCTCTTATCCCTGCTGTCCTGATTCTAAGACGTTTAACCTCTTCTCATTCTGCTTGTCAATCTGCCCCACCCCGTGCTGTCAACCCCCTCTGTTTTCTCGAAAAAAATATCTACAAACCGGCAGCTTAGCCTGACCCAAAACAACACTGCCCGCCGTGTAGGTATAATGTATTCTGAAGCAACATTTGTTAGTTCCAACTAAGCAAAAGGTTAAACATAGCTTTCTGCAACTTAACTTTGTGTGTGGTCGTGTGGCGTAGCGGCAGAGTGCGCGACTCGGAACTAAGAGTCCCGGGTTCGAGTCCTGACATGCCACCGATCTTGTGCCCTTGGGAAAGGCACTTTACACGACTTTCTTCACTTAACTCAGGTGTAAATGAGTATTGTCCTGTCATGTATTTGTCCCCTGTGTTGGTGGCGGCATTAATATAAGTTGAAAAAACTTGAGTGTGTCGTCACCACGTCTGGTGATTACATGTTGGAATAAAAAAAAACTTAACTTTTGAACCGTTTGCTTACCTGAACCTGACCACAGTGTATCCATTGGCAGGAACCAGGACGGTGTCTTTTAGTGGCGGGTTCATCAGGTTGAGCAGTGGCGGCCCATCTCGCCAGGTGGCGTCCGTGCACAGCTCGTTCTTGCATTTCACATCGCTGTTCGGCTGGATGTAGTGACCTGCACGTATGTTTGCAATAAAAATCATGTTGAACTCCGAATCTACATATCGGGGGATGTACATAATACTGAACAATCAGGAACAGCATAAAACTGACACAGTTTAAGTGCCGGACACAGCGCATGTTAAACAGTACACTACCCTATTGTGTCCACATTCTGAATAACAGTTAAAGTTATAGCAGAACTGTAAGTCGTGATGGTAGTGATTTTATTTGATTTTATAGGATTTATGACTTGTTTTGATTCTTATTTGCAATGTATAATGATAATAAGCCTAAAATGTTTGTGTAAGGAAACCGCAATTCAGCACTTGTGCTGCAAAGGTTTTTGTTGAATAAACCATTCTCTCTAAACCATTCTCTCATCTACGACTGTGCAAAATTCGCATGCACCAGTTGTCCGAGTTTCGTCACATGGTTCAAGTCCAGAGAGATTTTATTAGAGCCTTCATCAGCTTTCTAACCCGAGTAATGTAGACACGTGATTTTTTGGCGACGTCTCAGGGAGGAGCCTAATGGTACAGTATTGTGTGCAGTTTGCAAGAATTCTAGGAATTGTACAGGCATTTTGTCCACAGGCATTTCCCTGACCCACATCTATGCCCACATCCCTGGAACCCTTGGGAAGACCTGTCTACCCCGGATGGCCTTACTTTCTGTGACCCTGGGGCTCATTCACTATACACTCAAGAGAGATACACTCAAGAGAGTGAACTGTATCTGTCTAGACTCAACAGGTACCAAGTCTTCCTCAAAATCATGAAATCCTGGCAGTGCCATGCAAACGATAACACTAACAGCGACCACCGTCGCCATGGCAATGTATGTTTTCATTGCCAGTCTTGTTTCCACGAGTGTCGTCGGCACTGGGTCAAAGTTCGTCGGAAGTCATTACCGTCCCCCGTCCCAGTTGACAGAAGGTCGGTACGCCCTGATGTAAATGACTTCCTCCACCCCTCTCCCAAAATAATCACGTTCCGTGTCCAAGATGTTAGTCCCTGTCTCCCCTTCGACAAAGAACGTGAATATTTTGCAAGAGGGGTGAAGGAAGCCATTTACACCAGGGCATACCAGCTTTGTCTCAACCGGGACGGGAGGCGGTACCGGCTTCCGACGAACTTTGACCCAGTGCTGACGTCACATGTGGGAAAAAAATCACGTCCCTACAGCACTCGGGTTAGAAAGCTGATGATGACCGAGTGATTCGATTGATAATTATTCCTGAGTCATTTTTCTCAAGTTGGAGAACAGTTTAATTTTCATTACCCGTAGTCTTGTTGTAGCTGGGGTAACCCATGGCGAGGACGTGGAAGGCGTGCCCGTGGATGTGGACTGAGTGGTGCGTCTGACTGGCCGGGGCGAAGGTGTTATACATCACCAGCTGGATCGTCTTGTTGTAAGGAATGTCTGGAAACAAATTGTCAGACAAAAAAATTGATGTAAAAAAAAACAGATGTGAAAAAAGTCGATGAACACTTTCTATAAAGCAAACTTTGCAAAAAAAAAACCTCTTCTATTCTGCAAATTCTGAAAAGCTCTTCTCTTTTCAGCAATTTACGAAAAGTAGCGTCTAAAAATTCAACATACATTATTTCATGCGACACTGTTTAGTGTACATGCAAGTCGAATTTGAATAAAACTGAAGTAAAAACTAGAAAGGTCACATTTGCAAAGTAAATCCATAATATTTCCTTTCGCATATATCAAATACTAATATGTATGGTCAGAAAGGAGTCTAAATCCCTCTTGATAGGAAATTGCAACATGATGTAACCCAACACCAGTTACTATGGTGACAGACGTCTGGTTCAAAGCAGGTCAGGTCAGAGGTTAGTGTTTGGAACGGAAGAAGAAGAGGAAACGTAGCAAAAACAATACGTTTTCCTTCGGTAAACATAAGAATGGTAGAGCATATCGCACCTATGATGTGTGTACACCGACATCCGCTCCGGAGACACTGTTCCTCGTCACACGGCACGATGGCCGCCGCGCTGTCCTGGTGAAGCGGGGCGGTAGGACCGATGAACCGGCGACCGTTGACGGAAGACCCGATGGCGAAGTTGAAGTTTAAGAAGATCTCCGTTACGTCTGAGGCTTCCGTGATGAGGGAATGTTCATCGTCATTGTCAGTAACCTTTGATTTTTCATCTCCCTCTGGTGATGACACGGGAGCTTCTGCTTTATTGATATTGATACAGAAAGTGTTCAAGTGTTCGGCGTAGCCAGCAAACGGACAGTTAAAGACATAACACGGATTCTCTTCGCTGCAGTTCCGTTTAGATGTGGTAGGCTCGCTGTTTGCCGTTACACCTTGGTAACGCAGAACAGCCCGCACCTCTTGTGTGACGTCATCCGGAACCACGTTGACTTTGTTGTACGGGTAGCATTTTGTGCAATGGCCGGCGCGCAGGGTCTTAGCCCGGATCCAGTACAAATCCGGATTCTCGCTTCCGTTAATCCGGATATCGTAGCTCTCTCCGGGGTATAGAATGACTGACTGCACGCTGCGAGGTGCCATGTCGAACCCATCGCTTGCTGTCACCGTTAGCTCGTGTTGATCCACAGAAAACCGGAACGGATAGTCCGGACCGACGTGAATGATCCGGAATTCAACGGACCCTCCGGTAGGGACTGTGAAGGTGCTGAGCGGCGCCCTGTTGTTCCGGAATCGACCACGTCCGTTGATCAAAGCTGAGTTGTACTCTCGACTAGAGAGCTTGACACCATCTTGAGAGAACGAGCGTTCGTAGGCACCTGAAACAGGTAAAGGTCGTATTTAAACGTTCACGAACATGCAAATGATTACATGAGTATGTATAACAACACAATGAAAAAGTGATTTAGTTCTATGCAAAGGAAAAAAAAATCCATATGTCGAGAAATGGTTTGCATTGATGTTTCTCGAAGAGAATATTGCGAGAAAACGGATGGGTCTGAATAAACGGAACACCTTCAAGACGCAAATTATACATGTTGTCAATGATGCCATTTCGATTAATTTTTTTGTAGACGCCATGTTGGTGTGCATAGATCCAAGATGGCGACTGTCAGGTTTGTAACACACCAACAATGGATTTACTTATGTCCCGATACTGTTGTATATTCGAAAACAAAAATACGTAGTGTTGCAGTCAAATGTCATATACATGAGTGTCGTCAAGCAGTGTGCTTTTCTGATAGATTACCCAGCAAATATGTCCCATCGCCGCCATATTCCAAACGGAACAGGTTGGAAATCCAATATGGCGTAGCTTCAGTGTGGTACCAGTCGTGGAGGATCACGGGAACAGACGGCATGATGGGATGTCTGGTGAACAACAAGGACCAAATTTATCATTAGCACATTTTGTCAGAACCGTGTCATCTTGTAGTGTTTTGCGTTTTGTGTGTGATCATTAATTTGTTTTAAAAACTTTGATTTAAGATATCCTCAAAAAAATAGGGTTATTTACATTCTGGTGATCGTAACTATGATTATAACAAGGAAATTCAACATATAAATGCCCTGGCTATATTTATCAATTTCAAATAAAGAGATACAACCGTGAGCTATATTTCGCTCTGGGTGTCATTAAGAAAGAATCCCAAGAAAATGATCACAAGTTATCAACCAACAGGACTAAAAAGTTACTAGTAACTAGCAGCCATCTTAGTATGACTGCATACAGTCTTTACGAAAGACCATAGGTACAATGAGAGAAAGCTTCACCTGGCCATTTCTCACCTCTCCACGCCCATTTCCCACCGCCCACACTTATTTCTCACCCACAGAAATGAGTGTGGAACAGTGAGAAATAGCCCAGTGAAGCCTTGTCGTATTGTACTTCTGGTCTTTCGTAAGTACGAAGGCCCATAGGAACAATGCGTTAAGCT